CCTCTCTGCCAGCACCTGTTTAGAAGGCTCAGGGTACGTGATGAGGTCACTCTTAAAGGGGACTTCTAAACAGGTGCTGGTGGAGAGGTGACCGGCAGGAGAGCCCAGTCATGAGGTGGTTGCTTAGGGGGCAGGGTGACCTACTGGAGCTGTGTGGGAGTCCACAGTGAGAGGCGAAGAGGCTGAGGATCCCCACAGGACACAATGGACAAGTTTCGGATGATCTTCCAGTTCTTGCAGTCCAACCAAGAGTCCTTCATGAATGGTATCTGTGGCATCATGGCGCTGGCCAGTGCCCAGATGTACTCTGCCTTTGACTTCAACTGCCCCTGCTTGCCCGGCTACAATGTGGTCTATAGCATGGGCATACTGCTGACGCCTCCCCTGGTGCTCTTCCTGCTCGGCCTGGTCATGAACAACAACATATCCATGCTAGCTGAAGAATGGAAACGCCCGAGGGGTCGCCGGGCCAAGGACCCAGCCGTGCTACGTTACATGTTCTGTTCCATGGCCCAGCGAGCTCTCATTGCCCCTGTCGTCTGGGTGGCTGTCACACTGCTGGATGGCAAGTGTTTTCTCTGTGCTTTCTGCACAGCTGTGCCGGTGGCCACACTAGGCAATGGCAGCTTGGTGCCAGACCTGCCTGCTCCAGAACTTGCTCGCCTGCTGGCTCGTGTGCCCTGCCCTGAGATCTATGATGGGAACTGGTTGCTGGCCCGAGAAGTGGCCGTGCGGTATTTGCGCTGCATCTCTCAGGTGAGGGGGCTGGGTCTCTTCACAGGCCAGGTCCCTGTGGGAAAGTCCCTTCTCAGTGTGGGGGTTTCCCCTCAGATGGCTGTGGGTGGAGGCATGCATTCCCAGCTAAGACTCAAAGCAGAGCCATGTCTTCTGTCAAACAGGGTCACCTGGAGAGCGTGGATGATTCACCTCCTCCATCCTGAGCTCAGACCTGAAAGGCTGAGGGATTTGCATCCATTTCCTCTCCCGGGCCCAGGCGGTAGTGAGGACAGTGGGTGGCTAAGCCATTTGGGTACATTTCCCTGGCAAATACTCCCAGCTGGTGCCTGCTCTCTTCAGGAGTGGGAGCTGGGGGTCTGAGGATCGTGAACAGGAGGGAGCACATGGGTGAGGGAGATGGATGGTTGCGATGAGATTTAAAGGGCCAGCCATCTGGGCATCGTGCTCTGGAGCAGGGAACTGTGTGGTGTCCGCTGCAGTGGGGCTAGAGAAGCAGGCACACTCTTCTCTGGCCAGTGTAGACCCCTGACTCCCTTCTTGATAGAGGAGTTTCTACATGGCCTCTGTCACCAGCCAGACAGACTGAAGGATCTCCCACCATTGAGTGTCTAAGTTACAATCTTTACCTCCTTGTCTGGGGACCCCTGTCCGATCATCCTAGGCCTCAGGCCCAGGAGTACCTGTCACTCCACTTGACCTTTAAACTGTCACAGTGTATAAGCTGGAAGTTCCCCCCGCCCCCAGAAGCCACAGGCAGCCTGACTTGTAGACAGGTCCCTTGTGACTTGTAGAAACTGAATTCCGAACTCCCTTTAGAATGAATTGACTTTATCTAGAAATCAAAAATTGTCAAACAGAAAAATCAGATTTCCAGCTCTGCTTGGAACATGAGACAACCCAAGCCCTGTGGCTTAGTGAGGAACATGGGAGTCGGGCCCCTGCCTGAGTCATATGCTCTGTATTTTCCCACCCACCCCCACGGCAGCCATTGGGCACCATTAACACCACACCTGCCTGTTCCCCCTCCTCTCTGTGCAGAAAGGGGTCTGACCCATAGACAGGGAGGTGTGTCCTGCTCTGTGCCCTGTTGGAGTTTGAGGACTGTCCAGGGTGCCTCTGGACCTCCTTGAGAGTCCATCTTAACCTGATGGAAGAAGTGCTCCTTTAGAGCTGCTGTCCGTTCCAGAAGCTGAAGGGAAGGCCCGGAGCTTGAAGGAAGAAGGCCAGTAGGTCGGGGAGATAGGGAAAGGCCTTCTGAAGGAAGAGGCGTGGAATGCTATAGACAAGCTGTCTTATAGCCACTGTCTGGTTTAGTTCTCCCAAAATCCCTGTGTGGGGGGTGCTGTTGCTAGTAACCCCATCCCGGAAGTAGAGAAGCAGCCCAGAAAGATCACGTGGGGAAGAGCCTCGCTGTGGGATGCGGTGCTAACTCCTGTTCACTGAGCGCCCTGCCAAAGCTGCACATTCTGTGTCCCCAGGATCTGGTCCCTATGAGGTAGAGTATGTGGTTATTTTACACATGGGGAGATACAGACAGGCCAAGAGGTTGCGTGACTTGGTCCATAGCTGGCTTCCGTTGGGGAAGTCTTTGGAGGGTCTGGACCGGTAGGTCTGCTGACAGACATCTTCCTCTCCCCGCAGGCGCTGGGCTGGTCCTTCGTGCTGCTGACCACATTACTGGCGTTCGTGGTACGCTCTGTGCGTCCCTGCTTCACGCAGGTTGCCTTTCTCAAGAGCAAGTACTGGTCCCACTACATCGACATTGAGCGGAAGCTCTTCGATGAGACATGCGCAGAGCACGCCAAAGCCTTCGCTAAGGTATGCATCCAGCAGTTCTTCGAAGCCATGAACCATGACCTGGAACTGGGTCATACCCATGGAGTACTGGCCACGGCTTCGGCCAAAGCCACAGCCACAGCCACAGCCACAGCTACAGAGGCTGTCCAAAGTCCCTCTGACAGGACAGAAGAAGAGAGGGAGAAGCTGCATGGCATCACTGACCAATGCACCATGAACAGGCTGCTCACAAGCTGGCACCAGTGCAAACCACCCCTGAGGCTGGGCCAGGAGGCACCGCTGATGAGCAATGGCTGGGCTGGGAACGAGCCTCGGCCTCCGCGCAAGGAAGTGGCCACCTACTTCAGCAAAGTGTGATCTGTAGCTGGCTGCAGAGGCATGAGCAGAGATCTGAACCCATAGCCTTCCGCCCCTCGAAGAACAGTAACTCTGAGGCATTGCCACAAATCTAGGCGTCCACCTGCTGGTGTGAAAAGGGAAATTCAGAGCTGAAAGACAGTACTTGCTTAGCTGCCCTGGGTGGCCTGGAAACAATGCCATCCCATGCTTCATCTCCTGCTGTTTCTGTATTATAAGCGTTTAGATCTGGCCTTCGGGAGCAGGATGCATGGCTGGTACCCAAGTCCCTTCCCAGGCCTCATCCTGATGCTGCTTGCTCCATCCCTGGCTTGCTGAGGCTTAGGCTCCCGAAGCCCACTCTCACCATTTCTTCTTGCTCTAGACTTCTCTTATGCTCAGGCTCAAGAAACTGAGGACAACCAACTCTCTCATGATCGGTGCCAGTCTCTTGGATAAAAGGGAATGGGCGCCAGCTGGTGTGACACACCTAAGCGACCCATGATAAGATGACAAGAGCACAGGAGAGCGGCCAAGGGGTGTGTCCTGAGGCCGTTAGACAACTGTTGAGCTAGACAGCTTCCATGTTTACCTCAGACCGATCCTGTCACACACATTACAAGAAAGCAAATCAGCCATGGGGCTCGAGAGCTAGAAATAGAAGCTGATGAACTCCGTTTTCTCCAAGGCTCCCTGTGAAGTCTGCCCTGAGGGGTGATGAAGATGAGGGCGGAGTCTGAGTAGTTAAGACCTTAGACTAGGTGACTTGCTCTACCGTTGGCAAAGTGTGTCCCTGAGCCAAGTGCCTCCTTTTTTGGGTCTCAGTTTCCTCATTCGTGTAACAGGAAGAAGGCCATCTACCTCACGGGTTCACCATGGGTAAAGGCACACAGAACATAGTGGACATTTGGCCAGTGTGGTTAAGATGCTTGTTCCTTTAAGAATGCATGGCTGCTTGCTCTCCCCTCCCCTGACCCCAACCAAGGCACAGGACAAGACAGGAATACTTGGCTGCTATCTTGTCCAAGAAAAGAAAACAGTCCCTTGTCTCCCGGCCCCATCTTCCAGTCCTCGGCCTGCCTGTCTTAGAGTCCACTGTGACCTTCATAGTTTTATCTTCCCTCCTCCCCATCGCCTCACTCTCAGCTGGGACCCTGGTTCCCCTGGTGGCAGGGAAGAGGAAGCTGAACTTAACCCCAGCCCCGAATGAAGGGACCAGATGAATACAGACCACGTGTGCACGTGTGTGGGGGATAAAGGGAGGGGGATGGGGACAGGGTGCCAGAAAGTGCTCAGAGGAACAAACATGAGGGCTAGGTTCTAACATCAGCTAGTTGGAGCTAAGGCAAGCCCCCCAACCTGTAAAGTGCTTCATGGAAAGGCACAGCTACTGATTTCTGTCCATTTATCCCTGCTACACAGACAAGCCAGACTCAGGAGGGCGCGGCTTGTCACTCAGTGTGAATTCCACTGTCCCAACCCTGGAGAGCTGATGGCCCTGAGGGCTATCTCTCCCAATCTTAGGAGCCACTGAGATTGCCTTGGCAGTCTCCTTGTCAGTGGACCTGACTCATGACTTGCTTGGGAGCTCCCAGAGACAACTCTAGGGACAGGCAGTGCAGTTTAAGAAACTTGTTACCCTCTCATTTCTACCTATGACCAGCCTCTGGCCTAGGAGCTCCGGATTCCTTGATTCGGTCAGCTGTACAGAGGATGGGAACAGTACCATAGCTGAGCTATGATGGGAATATCCTCTTCTGGGGATGGCAGGTACAGATAGGATGCTCATAGAGAGAAGGTGTCGAGGGGACCAGGATCCTGACCAGGGTTTTGTTTTCTGGAATATCACCATCAATCTTGAACACCCACCTCTCCCCGACTCTGCAGGGGACTCCTCCAACAGCTTCTGCCAGGTGGGTGTCAAGTATGGAAGCTCTTCAAACCGGCCTGGAGGGCAAGCCTAGGCATGATCTCCTGGAGGGCCCTGCCTGGCTCCTGCCTAGACCTTCCCAGATGGCCCCTCGAGGGGTGCTCAGGGTAGAGTAGAGGCAGGGCCAGTAGGGCCAGCCACAGCGGGCCCAAAGGCGGGCTGGGACAGGACGCAGCATCTGAGACCTCTTCTCGACTTCCTCTGTTTTTGTCTGGCCCCGCCCTCAGCAGCCCTCCCTCTTCTGCCTGGCGCCAGGAGGCTGTTTTTCCATTCGCTGGCTAGAAAGTTCCATGGTTCCATGCCGCTCTTTCTTTCTCTCTTTTTCTGGAGTTAAATTTGTCTGCAGATGCCTACTGTACTTCATCTGCAGACGCCTTGAGTTAAGTTTGTTTGTAACTGGGCCCAGAGCTCCGTTGCTTTCAAACGCTGGGCGCAGGGCCCCTGATGGAAAAGCAAAGCCGGCAGTGAACCCCTGTGAAGGCCACTTTGCCTCGAGGTCAGGAGCGCCTCTCCAGTGTCTGCGGGAGCCCACACTGCTGTCACTCCATCAGGAAGCCAAGGCCATGGGGGATCTGCAACCAGCCGAAGGTAAGAAGGGGCCCCTCCCTGGGGTGTGCAGCTGTTAAAGGAGCTGGCACTCTCCAGGCACTATCTGGAGAGAACCCAAGAAGGACATTGGAAGGGTTGCTCCCACTACCCTCTCTAACTGCCTGTCTCCTATCCTTGGGAAGAGCCCCCAGCCTGATAATCTCAGTAGATGGCCTGGTCCCACCTCTGCTCATTCCCTATGCTATCTGTCAACCACGGTGTACCCCACCTTTGGGTGGGTTTAGGAACCCAGGACCACTCAAAGGAGCCAATGGGTGCCTCGCAGCCAAGAAAGGAGGAAGGGAGAAGATGGAGTTGCCTGTTAGCTGCTTATTGCCAGCACCAGGACAAAGTCCTTTCCCTGTGGGATTGTTTAGGAGCTCTGGGCTCTGAACTAAAGAGTCAGACATTCCTCCCTCCTCCGAGAGCCCACATGGGCTCTGCCTGTGCCATATGGCATCCTCGGCAGAGGCCGGCAACAGGAAGGAGAAGTGAATAGAAATCAGAAAGAGGCAGCATGGGCTTGCCTATCTCTCTTCCCAGCCTAACCTCTCTCCACTTATAGGCTTCCTCTGGCTGGAGAGTTGTTTTTTTGGTCCCCCACACCCCGTACAACCCCCCTTTCTCCTAATGGGAGTGGACATGGGGCCACACCCTGACTGTCTCTCTGGCAATAGGGGTGGAGACTGGGAAGGGAATTGGGGCTAAACTTCCAAAGAGCCGGAGGCCATGCCACTTCTGGCACAGAGCCATCTCTGCTGAGATCATAGCTCAGGGGAGGACTGATGGGTACGGTGGGCCAACCACGGAGGCTGCCAGTGGCTGCCAGGTGCCGTGGCCTAGGCTTCTTGGGGCAGAGATTCTGCAGGCTGCTGTAAAGGGTAAGCACGTGAGGAACAAGGCCTGAAGGGCGTGAACAGGAAGAGCTAGCTTAGCTCTGACACATTTTGTCCACTTTCTAAGTATTCTCAAGTCATGGTCAAATCTCAGCTGGCTCCTCCAGATTTGTCTGGCCTCAGGCAAGATACCCCGTCCCCTTGATTTTCTGGCCTTTGGGATCAGGAGATTCATCCTCAGTAGAACTGATGGGGTAAGAGTTTCAGATGTTGAACCACTATGTGACATCATTAATGGCCCCTAACACTCCTAGGGAAAGGTAGGATCGTAATGACTTGTCCTTTTCAAAGCTGAGTACAGAAATCTGGAGAAAAGACATGAAGTGTGTTGAGACCCTGAGGTCTCCAAAATGAAGGGGTTTTGTGCACCCAAGGGTGTTGGCATCTTGTGTCAGGCTTGCTACTGACCCAGGGCCAGTCTATCCTTTGTCCACTAGGACAGCCCCTGTAGCTTTGATACCCAAACTATACCCTCCAAATTGTCCCAAGTCCTTAGCATAGTTGTACCACCTGGAATCTCAGAGGGAAACCATTCCATATGGCCTAACACCACCAGCCATTCTTAATCCTCCCCGGGGAGAAGAGAGGAGTGGCAAAAGGATTTTAAGGTATTTAAAGCAGGCAGACCTGGTCTCGAATCTGAGGTTTGTCATTTATTTAAACGTGGCCCTGGCTAGGGGCTGACCCTCAGGAAGTCGTATACTTCACTGTGTTGAAGAGGGGGGTGCGCAAGGACGCCAGGGGGGTACCAAGGAAACCATGCAAAGACTCGTGGGGATGGGCAACATCAACTGAGAGCATCTGGTACCCTGCAGGAACTTAGGCAACCATAGCTATCACTATTTATTTCTGTAGAGGCCTATGCTCCCTCCTTCTCTGCCTGCTTGACCACAGCAGCACCTCTCAGCCTGTGTCCAGGGGCAAACATTTATCTCTCATCTGTGTTTCACAGGAAGCACCAGTTCAGCCAGTGCAGGAGATAGAATGGCATAACCATGCTCTGCCATCGGATGTCCTCCTGCCTGCGCTCCTTGCTGTTCTCATCAGAAGCCATCAATTCTGCCTTCTTCTGCCTCCTCCTGCGCATCCCATCCCTGGCCCGCCAGTCACCATGGCGGCCTTGATTGCAGAGAACTTCCGCTTCCTGTCTCTCTTTTTCAAGAGTAAGGATGTGATGATTTTCAATGGGCTGGTGGCCCTGGGCACAGTGGGCAGTCAGGAGCTGTTCTCAGTGGTGGCCTTCCACTGTCCCTGCTCACCGGCCCGGAACTACCTGTATGGGCTGACAGCAATTGGCGTGCCTGCGCTGGCACTTTTCCTTATTGGAGTCATCCTCAACAACCACACTTGGAATCTAGTCGCTGAGTGCCAGTACCGGAGGGCCAAGAACTGCTCCGCTGCCCCCAACTTCCTCCTCCTAAGCTCTATCCTGGGCCGTGCAGCTGTGGCCCCAGTCACCTGGTCTGTCATCTCCCTGCTTCGAGGGGAGGCCTATGTCTGTGCTCTCAGTGAATTTGTGGACCCCTCCTCGCTCACAGCTGGGGATGAAGGCTTCCCTCCGGGCCATGCCACAGAGATCCTAGCCAGGTTCCCATGTGGAGGGGGCTCTGCTAACCTGTCGGGCTTCAGAGAAGAGGTCAGCCGCAGGCTCAAGTATGAGTCCCAGGTAAGGAGCCGTGTGAAGGGCAGCCTTCTGTCCTTCCCAAAGTAGCCTCTGATGGGGTGGTACAGGATAGGACGGTCCAGCGTGAGAATGAGCACCTGTCCAGGGAAGCACTCAATTACCACTGTCAGGCATCAGCTGATTAACCTGTGGCTCAGAGTTATGTGGGGCAAGGGTCAACTCATCGCAAGTGTGTCTCTGATCTGCCTTAGGGTGCTGGGGATTGAATCCTAGACCACATGAATGTCAAGCATGGAGTTACCACTAAGCCCCACTTCCGTCCCTTTGAGATGGTTTTGAGTATTAAGGGAATACCATCTAGAGTCTCAGAGAAAACATCCCATATCCCATAACACCCAGGGCCATTCCCAGTCTTCCTAGTGAGGTTATCGTTACCCTAGTTGACTGGGCATGGTCCCTGCAGGCCACCTCACAAACACCTGGTGTAGGCTTTTAAGTTGACGGTGGATCCTGGTTGACCCCAGGATGAATACATCCCTGTCCCAAGTAACTGAGTCAGCTTTACTCTTTGGGGCAGGCCAGGAAGGGGCAGGCTACTGCTGTCCAGTCTAACTGGAGCCTTCCCTGCATCCTGTTTGAAGATTGGTCAAGGGTCAAAAGAACAGTTAGAAGCAGCAATCTGAACTGAATGTGAATTCAGAAGCAGAGGACGAGGGAGGCAGGAAGGAGCCCAAGATTCTCTAAAGGGATTCTTTCCCTGTAAACATAAGACACCTACAGCTAGAGGCTGGAGAGGAGACTCCTGGGTTCAATTCCCAGCACTCACATGGTAGTGCATGCGCTAAGAACACACATAGTGTACAGACATATGGGCAGGCAAAACACTCATATACACTATCAAAGGAAGGAAGGAAGGAAGGAAGGAAGGAAGGAAGGAAGGAAGGAGGGAGGGAGGGAGGGAGGGAGGGAGGGAGGGAGGGAGGAAGAAAAAATAGAAAAGAGAACAAACCTAAGCCAGCTGCCTGTGCTGGATCTTGCCTGTAATCCAGCATTAGGGAAGTAAAGGTCGAAGGTCTGGAGTTCAGGGTCATTTTAGCTACACAGTACTCTAAGGGCCAGTTTGAACCGTTGTCTCAATGAAAAGTAGTTAAGGTTGAGAGTATTGCTCTTATAAAGAGGAGCCAAGTTCAATTCCCAGCACCATCAGGCAGCTCACAACTACTTGTTAACTCCAGCTCCAGGAATCTGATGCCTTCCTCTGGACTCTGGGCTCACATATACATTACTGCCCCGGGTGTACACACCCCCAATGCATATACAGCCTCCCAACACATGTACACACCCCCAACGCATATAAATACCTGCATCCATGAAATCTAAATTCTTTAAACAGCCAACAACGTAAAAGAAAGAACTGAGACTAAGACGTAACTCGGTAGAATGTTCGTCTAGCACAAATCAGATCCTGTGTTGGATCCCTAGTGCTGCACACACTAGGTGTGGTGCATACTGTAACCCCAGCACCCAGGAGGTGGAGACTAGGGCACCAGAAACTCCAGACCATTCTCAGCTATACAGTATTTAAGGTCAACCTGGGCTACATGAGACCCTTTCTTGGGGTAAGGAAGGGGAAAGCAGAGAAACGGGGCTGAAGTCGGCATCCAGTGGAAGATGGGGAAATACAGAAATACTAATCACTAATCCATCGTTCTATATGCTAGCAGTAGGCAGAGAGGGCCTCAAAGGCCCTTGCCTTCAACAGACTTAAATCCTCCCAGTGTGAAACAAGTACACAGGCCATCCAAAGGCCGCAGGCAGTGATGCTATGTGGGTACAGGCCTCTGAAGGAAAACATGTGTCCTGTCCCTGAGATGCAAGCAAGCTCCTGAGCTGAGCTTGGTGGAGTTTCCTGATTCTGCACCCACAGGGCTGAAGAACAAAAAAGGCAGAAGGCAGTCTAAGCACAGGAGAGTGTGTGGGCTAAAGAGGGTAAGAATAGAAGAGGAAGTCATGCTTGCCCACAGAGCATAAGCTGTTCTCGTTCTACTGCCCCCACGGGTAGGCAGGGTCCAGGCAGCTCTCAGGCCTCCACCCTCAGCCATGCCTTTTCTCTGACCAGCTCTTTGGATGGCTGCTCATCGGTGTGGTGGCCATCCTGGTGTTCCTGACCAAGTGCCTCAAACATTACTGCTCGCCGCTCAGCTACCGCCAGGAGGCCTACTGGGCACAGTACCGCACCAACGAGGACCAGCTGTTCCAGCGCACAGCAGAGGTGCATTCAAGGGTGCTAGCTGCCAACAACGTGCGCCGTTTCTTTGGCTTTGTGGCTCTCAACAAGGATGATGAAGAACTGGTCAGCAAGTTCCCAGTGGAAGGCACACAGCCACGGCCACAGTGGAACGCCATCACTGGGGTCTATCTGTACCGTGAGAATCAGGGCCTACCACTCTATAGCCGCCTACACAAGTGGGCCCAAGGCCTGACTGGTAACGGCACAGCCCCTGACAATGTAGAGATGGCCCTGCTCACTGCTTAAGAGCTTGCTTCTATGCTCTGTAAATGGAACTACCTAGTCACAAACTAACTCCACATGGCATGCTAACTTCAGCATCAGGTGACTTTTCTGTTAACTACAGTGTCTTGAGCATAGACATAAAACTAGTAGTTTGTAAAGATCCTGTGGACATGGTTCACAGAAACTGAGATGGGGTGGGTTGGGTTGTGGGGACTGGCCTACCAAAATCATCTCTCCCGTGGCCACTAGCACAACTGTTGGAAAAGACTTTCCTACGAGCTGGTCTGTAATGTGACAGGAGTGATCTTTGGTGGGCCTCAGAGTTGAGAAACATCAGCTGGCAGAGCCTAGTGACAACGCATTGGGGGGCTCGCCGTTGTACAGTACACTTTGTGCAGTTAATTTGTGTCTAATTGCATAGGGACACCCAGCTCCTTGGCGTATTGCTAGGGGCTGTCCTGACTGTATACCTCTGGCCTGGTTTTATATATTTACACTTTTTGATAAAGCTTTTCTTACTTTAAAGGCCTAGACTGGTGTTTGTGCAACTGACAAGGGCACAGAGCCCAGTGTGAGAGATGGCACTAAAAGGGACCACAAAGGTGATATGTCCTGCCCAGGGCTGAGTCTCTTGACAATCTGCCTGAGTGACATGATTTAACCTGAGGAGAGGCAGCCTAGCCTTTTGCAGGGGTCATCTCAGTTGAAAACATAACATCTGTCTGCACACAGACCTAGCACTAAACTCCAAGAGCCAGTTCGTTCCAGCTCTCCTCCCTTTAGACTGTGCCTCTGTCCTCTTGTCTCAGTCCCCTGGCCTCCCAAACATGGCAGATGGTACAGGCTGGGCTGAGACAATGCTGGGACCCCAGGACCACATGGCCTACAGTCTTTCCAGCTACCCACCGCTTGAGTGTGGACTAAGAACTTGCCAAGGGACAAAGTGGGAAGCTGATCATGAAATGTGCTGGCATTTGCCTTTCTGTCCTTAGACTGCAGCAAACTCTCTTGAAAGATAAATGCTTGTTTTTTTTGTTTTGTTTTGTTTTGTTGTTGTTTCCTAGAAGCTTAAGAGCTTGCTGCCTAAAAACACTGAGCAGCCCCAGGAACAAAACAAGAGCATTAAACCTCAAGGGCTAAGGTGTAGTTTAGTGGAAGAACACTTCTTAGCATGTGTAAGGTCTTGGCTCAATCTATAGCATTCTAAATTTAAAAAAAAAAAAAGAAGTATACACACACACATACTTAAAAGCAAGAATTGATAGTACATGCCTTTAATCCCAGCACTTAGGAGGCAGAAGTCGTGGGTTTCTGGGTTCAAGGCTGGCTGGGTCTACATAGCAGGTTCCAAGCCAGCTAGGACCATAGTAAAAACCCTGTCTCAAAAGATTTTTAAAAAGATTTTGAGAGTTTAAAAAAAAAAAACACTCTCAAAATTCTTTATTCTGACAAGATGAGGAACTTGGCCTCAGCGAGCCAAGCCTGCCTTCCACAAGCATCACAGCCTACAGGCGCGCTGCAGAAAAAGCAGCAATTAAAACAGTCCCCAGGCCAGGGCTCCCACCGTCCAGGTGCCTGCTGTCCCCAGGGTGCAGGAGAGCCTGTGCTGCTAGTCCTCCAGCGCAGAGCTCTTGGCCTCCACGTACTCCAAGGCCTTCGCCTTGACGGCCTGGACGTCCTTCTCTGTGCCGTGCTGCTTCTCATAGTCCAGGTAGCGCTTGAAAAAGAACTTCATCCTCTTAGGGGCCAGGCTCAGATGAATGACCCGCTCAAAGATGTCCCTATGAGGGAGAACAGGGAAGCAGTTTCCTTAGGGTCCCTACCATGTGACCCCTGGCTAGCACTCCCCAACTCACTCTCAGGTATGGGGTCTCTCTAATATCCAGCACCCCATTTCTTATTTTTTATCATCAGTATGAACTTCTGACAGAGACAAAAGACTTGGCCTGCCTTAAGTTAAGGACAAACTCCTGGGTTGGGAACACACAAGGACAGAAGCAGACTTAAACTCATGGCCTGTAGGGATTGTGGGGACAAACATGAGAGCATGCCTGTGAAGGTTCCATCCATGAGAGGCTGGCAGTGTGAGCTATGTGGGACCACAAGCCTCCTGGTTCCAGGTACAGACCAAAGGTGGAAAGGTGCAATCAAGGGGACCAGGCAGCCATGTCAGAGCTGGTTTTCAGTATCAAGTCAGACAGCTAGGAGCTGCCAGGGAGCGGCTAAACATCATCAACATGGCCAAAGCCCCCTTACCACCCCACACTCCAACAGGAGCCAGCCCCGGTCTGTCATCCCCCTCACCTGACTTCTTTCTGGCTTCCATGCTTGATGGTCATGTCGATGTAGACCGACCAGACGTCTGTGCGTTTTGGGTAGGTGCTCAGCGTGTTTTCAAACATGGCCTTAGCCCGCTCCACATCCCCGAGCTGGAACTCTAGCTGGGCAAACTTGACAATCACATCCACATCTGTAGGGAAAGGACAAGTCAGAGCCAAGACAACCTAAGAACCTCGCCACAGCACAACCATCAGCTTTTCTAAGGCAGAGCTATGATCTGCCAAATGCCACTGTAAGTATCTATCAGTCCTGAGTGTGTTCCGGAGGTAGGAAAAGCACTCACGCTCCTTGGTGGGCAGGCACTCCAGGGCTCGCTGCAGCACACGGTGGCTGGCCCCAGCCTGACTCCTCCCCAAAACAAAGGCACCATATTTGATCCAGACAGCCTTCTCCTGTCGGAACCGCTTCAGCATCCGGTTGTACAGCTCACCAGCTTCCTGTGGGAAAGACACAGTAAACTAAGGAGCATGGCACTTCAGAGGGCCAGTAGACTTGGCTCACTGATTCTAGGGGCCTGAGGAGACTGGGAAGATCTTCAGGAGAGCACAGTGTAGTTACATAGAATACCGGGAGCCTCCCTAGTAATCCCTTGTGTATTCTCACCTCTGTGGGGAAGGGAAAGGGCCTGAGGCTGAGATGTGATATCATGGGGAACCCAGAAGGTCGGGTCCTCACAGAATGCTGGCCCTGGCCAGCATCTGGAGCAGCTAGGCATGGAACGTAACACCCTACCGTGAACTTGTCGGACTTGGTGTAGATGTCAGCCAGATGCAGGAAAACCTTGAGAGGCTCATTGTACTGCACAGCTCGCTCGAAGACCTTAGTCAGGGACTCCTGAGAGCCGTACATGTTTTCCAGGTTCAGCAGTGCCACCCACACGTTCAGCTTTTCCTGCTCCTCCCTGGAGGCAGAGTGGGCAGAACATGAGCTCCACCCACTCAGCGTTGGATGCTCAGGAACTATTTCTTTCTCCAGGCAACAACTGTATCCTCAAGCCCACTGTGAGTATAGATAGAGACGCTGACTCATGCAGCTTACTGCAAGGGGAACCTGTGCTCCCCATCTTTTACTGCCAAGATTGGGGCTCCTGATTTCTCCCTCCATTCCTGGAACGAAGCCTCCAGATTACACGCTGGGCCTATGTTCAAGCTGGAACAGAATCTTGGGTCTGATTCTCTCCACCAATGAAGAGAGCAAAGCCTAAGGCAGTCATCCGTCTACACTGGGCTTCAGAAAGCTACCTCTGCTCTCCTGAGACCAGAGTAACCCCAAGTAATGCTGAGTTCTTCCCACTCCGCTTGTGTTACTGAGAATCTTGTCAGCAAACAGAGACAACTAACTGTCGCCATAGCGATTTCATTGAACAGGACCATAAAATATTAATGAGTGATCTGTTTTAGGTGGCTCCACTTAATAAGACTGAGCCTGAAAGACCATGGGCTACTTACTCCTGGCCTGACCAGGAAGAAATGAGGCATGGTGGCAAACTCTGTAAGCCCAGACCTGAAGGAGATGGTCTTCAGGGCCCTCTCAGCTACAGCCCGGGCCTTCTCAATCTCGGTGGCCTGTAGATGGAACGCCATGTACTGCAGCCAAAGGATGGAGCTGTTGGGGGAGCTTAGCACCAGCCGGTCAAAGTCATCTGCAGACTGCGGCTGCCGCCCGGGGTCCATAAGTGCTTCCTCAATGCGTGACAGCTCCTTCTCTGCCTTCTGCTTCTCCAGCTCTCTTTCCTTCTTGCCCTTCTTCTTCTGTTATGGAAGGAAGAAAAGTAACTTGTCTGCTCCTTCAAGCGCAGAGGGATCTGAGTAGAAGCCATGGGTTCACAGGACAGCCCATAGCCTCTACCCAGGAAGACACTTAAACCAGAAGAGGGCATCGGAGCTAGGAATGAGGAGTTTCTGCAAGAGATGCAATGTCGTGGGAATACAGCACCTTGGCTGGGTGTGGCTGCTCATCCTCCTCACTGTCTGAGCTCTCGTCTCGGAGTGGTAAGACTGGAGTCAGAGAGTCGAGCCCCACGTCCCAGATGAAGCCTGAAGAGAGGTGCAGCCGGGGCACCTCTGTGGGCTTTGTCGGCTTGCCCTGCAAGGTCAGAAAACAAGGAAGCACAGGCCAGGCTGTTTCCTGTCCCCACCTACTGCCAAACCACAAGCCTGCCTCCTTTGTCTCTCTGTTGAGGGAATAGCAGTGACTTGAAAATGCTCTAAGTCACTTAGACAATGACTTTCTATAAAGTGTAAACACACGCACACATGTGCAAAGTAGGAGGTCTGGAACAGAAATACTGAGGGTGCCAGGGGTTGGCAAAAGTGAAGAGGCGCTGCCCCATGGCTGAGACTCCCAGAGTCCTCTCCACTGCTTGCACTTCTGAGCAGCGTGGGCTCGTCTAGGCTGTGCCCTCTCTTTATCTGCCCACCTCTTTCATTCTGTTCTTGATAAACATGTTATTAGTGTTAACAGACCCAGTCCTCCAGGAGGGAGGCTGGCTGAGGCAGCGATGCTTCATCACCCACTGCTTTACAGAGAACCAGGGTGAGCTGGAACAGCTCAGGAAGCCAAGGAGCTCCTCCCCGAAAGCCTTCCCTCCACTCAGCGGTGAGCCTTACCCTGGGAGGCAGCTTTGGCTCCTCCACCTCATCCTCTCCTTCCCGGTAGTACACTTCCACACCACTGTCGTCTTCTTCTGGTGCCCCAGACTTCTTTGGCCTCTTGTTCACTAGTTCCTGAAATGGTAGGGGTGTAGGATGGGAGGGTGCTCCTCGCCCTCATGGTGCCTGCTCAGAGAAGGCTGGGCGGCCGCAGCTCACTTCTCAAACACTTGTTATGGGTGAGGTGAGGTGAGGTGCTCCCTGGGGGAGGGGGACTCACCTGCTCGCTCTCAGACTCCTGGCGCTCCCGCTTGCCCTGCCCACCCCTCTGTGACTTCTGGGGTTCTTTCTTTTCCTGGCTGGACAACCCGGACACCTCTTGCCTCTTCCGGTTCTTCTCTTTCCTTTTCCGGATCTTCTTCTCTTCTCCTTTCCTCTCCTCTTGTTTTGGAAGAGGTGGCTCTGGGGAAGCAGAGAACAGATCCGGCTTCCCAGTGTCGCTGGGAAGGAGCGACAGCTCAATCAGGTTCTTCGTGGGGTCCACGCTGATGCAGGAGGGGAAGAGGCAGAAAGTAAGAGCAGAGGTTGACTGGGCACCTGCAGACCTTGCCTCGTCAGCACTTAGGCCTTCTTTCCTTGTCAGTCAGGGCCCGGGCCCTGGCTCACCTGCCTGAGATGCTCAGTATTCTCAGAGACAGTTTCCACCTGCTTAGTGGAAAGAGCCAGGAAGCATCTAGTATGGATGGGTGTGCTTGATCGACAACAACAGAAGCCATGTCTACTCCTCAACTAAGGCTGGAATTGAGGTCAAAGGCTTCAGCTGAAGGTTTTTACTCATCTGAGCACTACCTACATCATTACCCCATGCCTTTATGTTCTGAGTTTACCTGAAAACCTCCTCCCAGGGCAGGGCGCTCATCAAAAGGGGTCTGATTCACACCAAAGAAAGAGGGACAGAGAGGGCAGGGAGAGAAGACACTTACCACAGGACCTTGGCAGTGACCAGCTTTCCCTCAGGGAGGCCTCTGCTATAAAGCTCTTTCTCAGGTGGGATACACTCAGAGACATGTGAATTCTTGGCCAAACCCAGAACTGAAGGTCCAAGGCTGAAAAGAGACGGACAAGAGCCCTGTAGTATAAATACAACATATAGTATAATTACAACCCCACCTAGCGCCCCCCCCCCCCCGCTTTTACAGGCTCAAACTTTGGGAGGATATATGAGACACTGGATCTTGGCATCCAGGAGGATAAAGTTGGTTTTGGAAACTGGAAACAAACTATCATATATAACGAAAGTATGAATTCGTATTTTATTTGAAGTACTGAAAATCCAACCCAGGCAAGCTAGGCAAGGGCCCCATCAGTGAACTCTGTAACCCTAGCTGGCCTGGAACTCAGAGACTCTCCTGCCTCTGCCTCTGCCCCTGCCCCTACCTCTGCTGGGATTGAAGCTTTGTGCCACAACCCAGCCCCCTAGTTATCTTTTATGCACTCTAGCACCGTGTCCAAATCACAAACGGCTAAACGGAGAGGAGACACAAGAGCGGGGAATTGGCAGTGCCAGGGCTTAGGAACATGATGTGGCCACATTAAGACTCAGAGCTTAGAAACATGATGTGGCCACATTAAGACTCAGGAAACTGGGGCTGGAGAGATGGCTCAGTGGTTAAGAGCACTGACTGCACTTCCAGAGGTCCTGAGTTCAAATCCCAGCAACCACATGGTGGCTCACAACCATCTGTAATGAGATCTGATGCCCTCATCTGGTGTGTCTGAAGACAGCTACAGTGTATTCATATATAATAAATAAATAAATCTTTAAAAAAAAAAAAAAAAAAAAGACTCAGGAAACTGGGCATCGTGGCATATACCCTTAGTCAACACACTCAGGTCACATGACAGGTGAAACTCTGTGGGTTCGAGACCAGCCTGATCTATTTAGTAGGTTACAGGACATCCAGAGCTACATAACAAGACCCTGCCTTCAAAATAAATAAGACAAATAAATAAATAAACAAACAACACAAAAAGAATCATGATCAAACACAAGAAATCCAGAATTTGAAACTGAAAATGTCATTCTTTTTCCAAAACACCAAACAAGAAATAATTCAAAACTTTAAAAAAAAAGAAAAGCATTTAAAACTCTTGGACTGGAGTGATGGCGCCATGTTTAAGAGCACTTGCTGCTCTTCAGGTCCCAGGGTTGGCTCTCAGCACCCATACGGTGGCTCACAGCCATCTGGACCTCCAATTCCATGTGATCTGGTGCCCTCTTCTGACCTCTGCATACATCAGGCACACAAATACACATGCACAAAAAACACTCAAAGATAAAAATACGTATTTAAAACTCAGAATTTTACCAACTGGTAATGCACAAGCTCTCCTCAATTCTTATCAAAGTTGACTGGGGGGAGGCGGCAGCAAGCCCAGGGCCAAGAAGGCAGCTTGGGAAAACACCTGGCTCTCTGGATCCAAGTCCCAAAGCCTGTGCCTGGCTCCGGTACTCACCCTATGATCACACCACTCGACAGAACAGATTTCACATAGCCCCGCAGGAGCTGCCCCTCCTTGACATCCTCAATGGAGTTGACTTCTGGATCTTCTATTTTACTTTTTGTCTCTCTGTTTGTCCTAAAGGAACACAAGGCTTACATATACATGCCTTTAACCACTGATGCTCTCCCCAGAACACCTGCAACAATCATACTGTGTAAGACTGTCTCTGCACCTAGAGGACTGTAATGTACAGAGTCTAGCCTGCTCACTCCTGTAGTCCTGCCAGACCAAGACTCTGTGTCTGACAGCTAGCTATGCAGAAACAAGCTGGAGAGAAGTCAAATTTAAAGCCTGACCTTACCCAGTGGAATGCTGGTCAGCTCCTTCTATTCCACACTTACACCCCACCCCCCATCATGAACCCTGGGACCAGACACCCGCCCTCACCAGTATCATCTTGTTACCTTGAATACCCACATTTAGGTAAGCAAACCATTCCCTTCAAGACAAGAGCCTGGATTCTTCCAGAAACTCAAATGCCTCCCCCACTCCCAACCCATGACACACACTTAAATAAAAACAGTTCAGTGTGTAGAGACGGGCAGAGGAGGAGGAACTCAGAGTTCTATCCCAGGCAAACGCACTATAGCCCAAGTCCGCTGAGTTGTTCCTTCTCCTTTCTCAACCCAACACCAACACTCACCTGGATGATCGCAGTGACAGAGCCAGCACACGGTGTGCCGTGGACAGGACATAACATCTGGAACAGGCAAAGGAGGAGGACACACTCAACCATCAATATTTCTGGACACTCACATGCACAAAATTAAGACAGATGTTTCGTAATTCTACTCTTTAGTCAGGTAGGTGATATGCTGCAGTCGGGAACTCTCATGACACGGGGTAGCAAGCTCATCTCCAGTCAACTACATGGCCGTGAGGTGACAGAACGGTGCTCTACCCGACACTATGTGCATTCTCAGCTTCTGCTATCTTCAACTTATAAGTTTATCAAAGCTGAGAGAGATCAGTACTTATGAGACAGTCCCCACAGTAATTTATAACTGTGATCTCCATAGACAGAAAAACCGTAGAAAACATGACCCAGTGGGGAGGAGCCAGACAGAGCAGCGAGAAACTTGGAAGAGGGAAAGCAGGATTGACTCTCACTAGTTCTCATAGTAGCTCAGGCAAAACTATAATTCATAGTCCTTTATCACTAAGTAGAAACAGAGAGGATTGGAGGTAGAAAAGACCATGGTCACAATTCAATGCAAAACATTCCCACAGCAGGTATGTGCTTCTCACAGGCACCAGAGCCCTTGATGCTGGAAGTAGGCTTCAGGTGCTACCTTGAGGCAAACGATTTCCTACTCACATCTGACAGAAGAGAATTTTAATTGCATGCTACCCATAGGCCTGGCTGTCATAAAAGTATTCAAAATGACTATGTTGCTAAAAGTCACACCCTCACTTCGTAAACTTCAATAAGGCAAGCCAGAGATGACCCGTGTGTCTCTGGGATTCACTGAAGATCTGTCTTCCGCCAGGCTCTGGGTATCTCTGTGCTGTTGGTTTGGATAAATACTTCACAGCTTAGGTGGATGTCAGGAGCTGGGACATTGGAGACGGGGTTGGGCCATGACTGCTTTCTAGTCTCCCAGAGGTATGCACTCTGCTTTGTCTTGGCTGGCAGCAGGCTACACACCTTGAGATCTGGCTCTTCGAGGCCACTTTTCTCAGTCTGCAAAAACGGCCTTAGAACTTAAGTGGGGCTTGTGGTGCAAGTTGTACTCCTTGAATCTGGACTCCTAGATCCTCTAAGGAGGATCGCAAGTCTGAGGCCAGCCCAGACTATAAGACCCTGTGTCTCAGCTCAGAACCAACCAACCAACCAACCAACCACAGATAATTCCGACCCAGGTTTGTTTGTGGGTACCTGAAACGGTTTATAAAGTCTGCACCCCCAAGGTTGCTACCCTTTTACAAAAAAAACATGTACAGATTCTTTTTTTTTAATTAAAAATATAAACATTTCAAATAAATATAAACAATTGGCTTGGAAAGCAAGAGCACAGGAAAAACCATGACGAGACAGTATAAGGAGTACAAGTGAACAGGCTGGAGGCCCCTCAGCAGTAGAGTACTGTCTGTTCTTGCAGGGGACCTAGGACATAGAGAGCAAATGTTTAGCTCCAGTTCCAAATCCAATGCCCTCTTCTGGCCTCTGAAGGGACTGCATGCACACGGTGCACTGACATATACATATAAAATCAGTATTTTTAAAAGTCTAACTAAAAAAAATGTAAATTAAAATGAAAGATCAATTTTTGCCTATTCCATGACTAAAATAAAAATTAAGAATAGCCAGTCTGGGCTGGAGAAAAGGCTCAGCAGTTAAGATTCTTTCTGAGAATTCGGGTTTGATTTCTAGTAGTCACATGATGGAACTCCAGTTCCAGGGGATCCAATGTCCTCTTGTGGCTACTGGGGGCACCAGGCATCCACATGGTACACACATACACACGAGTCTCATACATATAAAACAAACCAAAGTAAACAGATCCAGTCTTACAATCCTAACGAGGAAGCAGAGGGATGCAGTCACCACTGTTAGGGGGCTGTAAGTGAAGGACACTTTTGAAAACATTTAATATCAATTGGTCCATTAAACTTACTTCTATAAATGTATTTCAAACTTGCATAATCCAAAAATGCACAAAAGACCGGCATTTCAACATTACTGTCTATCAGTAAGAACTGATTAAATAAGGCTAGATAAAAGTGGTGTGATACAAACAAATACTAAAAATAAGATGAAAGAACAAGATATTAGCATGAAAAAGAAATTCATGATAAACTGCTCTGAGAAAAAAACAAGTTGCAAATAATATGTAAAGTGAAGTTCCATTACTAAATTATACCCACATATGTGTTCAAGTCTGGAAAGGTCAGAGGTTAAAGTATACATGACAAAAGCAGGTAGGAGAAGAAGAGACAGAGACTTATATATTGGAGGTTTTCTTTCCAGCAAACAAAACAAACAAAACAAAAAGGCACAAAACAGGTTTAAACTTAAGATGCTTATCATTAGGGAATGGATAAAGAAAATGTCATATACACACAAAGAGTATAATCTTAATTATAAAGAATAAACTTACATCATTTATAGAAAAATGGGTGATACTGGGGTTCATGATAAACCAGACTCAGAAAGACAGGGTTACACACACACACACACACACACACACACACACACACACACACACAGGACATGAGAGTGGAAGGGACTGTGGAGGGAGGAAGAGGGAAACGATAAGCCAGCTCAGCAATTATAAGCACTGGCTCTGAGTGCCTGGCTCAATTCCCAGCACCCACATGGCAGCTCACAAGCACCCATTACTCCAATTACAGGGGTCTAATGTCCTCTTCTGGCCTCCGTAGGTACCAGGCACCCATGTGGTTCACGGACTTACATGCAGGGAAAACACCCATACACAAAAGATAAACTAAGAAAAACAAAAAAGAACGGACGAAAGAACAAAACACCCATACACATGAGATAAACTAAGTAAAGCATAAAAGGACAGACGAAAGAACAAAAGGGGCAACAGGAGCTGGGTGGACGGACAGGGCACACATTCCTTATATGCAAAATCTAGATGTAACTGACCCGTGACACGGAAGCAGAAGGGAGACTGCTGGGGGAAGTGCTGTCTCAGAGCAGCCAAGGAGGAGAGATGGAGAAGGTAATGGACGACTGTGGGCAAGGTACAATAATCTGATGTGTGAAAAAATCATAATGATAGCTGTGCCCCAGCTGCTCTCTAATTAGTGCCACCCCTAGCTCCTGGGCTCTAGCTCAAGGAGAAGATGGGTCAAGTACAGAGGACTCTATGCCATGGTTCCTGTAAAGCCGACTGTTGACAAATCCATGCACAGGAGAAACTAGCCACTAAAGATGCTTGCAAGAGTGCACCCTCTATCGGCAGAGTGAAAAAAGTGCATCATCACAGAAACAATGGATAAGCTATGTAAAATTAGTTGCAACTGAGTCTATTATGTCTTCATTCAGAGGAAGAAAGTGAGACCTATCTAATTGGCTTTTTTCAAGATGTCAACTTGTACGCTATCCACACAGAACTTGTGATATTTATGTTAAAAGATACCTAGCGGGCGGTGGTGGCGCACGCCTTTAATCCCAGCACTTGGGAGGCAGAGGCAGGCAGATTTCTCAGTTCGAGGCCAGCCTGGTCTACAGAGTGAGTTCCAGGACAGCCAGGGCTACACAGAGAAACCCTGTCTCGAAAAACCAAAAAAAAAAAAAAAGATACCTAGCTAGCACTTTGTATGCATGAAGAATATGCTTGAGAATCAGCTCAGGGGGCTAGAGAGGTGATTCAGTGGTCTTAGGGTACTGGTGAAAGGAGTCAGGCCCCAAGAGCACATGATGGAAGTAGAGACCAACTCCCACAGACGTCCTCTGAACTACACACATGTCCTATGGTGCATGGAAGCATTCATCTTCAATCTTGTTTTCCTCTCTTTCTGCCATCCATCAGTAGTTCTAAAGTTAGTGATAGTTTTCCCTATGGAGTTAAAAGGTACCTAAGTATGTGACGGCAGGAGAACAGGGACAGAAATCAGGGACTAGCAGCTTTTCCTTTTCATCTGTGAGTGAAATTAATAAACATAGGATGTTCCAGAGAAAAGGCTTTGGCCTTTCAACTTGGTAGCAATTTTAAGTATGCAAACCTGATAAATTTTTCAGGGCGGGGAGGGGGAGGGAGGACTAGAATCTCACACACACACACACACACACACACACACACACACACACACACACACACACCACATCACATATCAGATAAAAGAAAATCCCATCAATTCCATACATAGGCAAAAGAAAAACTCCATGGCTCACCTGACAATCTTCTGGAGGCAGAAGTCTTCCAGGGGTGCCTCAGAGTACGAGTCACTCACATGAAATATACTGACTTTCCCCATCTTCCCAAAAGGGAAAGAGACGGTCAGTCCCTGGTTGGGTACCACCTTTAACACTCGGCCCATGGCTACTTCCCCTTCTTCAAGTCTGTAAGGACCTGGCGGGAAAAGGAGACAACAAGAAAGCTGCTCGTAGCCTGGCCTACTATAGCCTGCCAACCCAGAGGAAGTGGAGGCCACCCAGACTTGAAAAGCTTCATCATAGCTTGAACCCATGACCCCATAGTCACGAGACAGATAATCCCTTCAGAAAGACCTGAGAAACCAAGTTTAGAAAAGGAGACCTAAGAGCGATAGAGTCACACAAGTGAACAAAGCCCAAGGGAAAACCAAAACCAAATAAATACACCCTCTCCCACAATGCTCTGCTCTGGCTTTCTGACACTGAAGGTCTCTCATTTTGGTAGTATCTGAAGCCTCCCACCCCAGTCCCTCTCTACCCAGGTACCAAGTCTTTCCACACCTATGAGTGACAGACATAAGAAAGCCCTGGGGACGTCTGGGCCAACGACGGTGGCCCTGATGGCCTGCCCAATCTGGAACTTCTTGTCTGGGTGTTTCAGAACCTGAAAGGATTAAAAAAAAAAAAAAAGTTCTAATGTTACCATCAAGGTTTGTCATTTACCTATAACTTCTAAGTTCTCAGCCTCCTACTCCACCAAACCCCACATCTGCTCAGGTACCCCACCTAACCCATGTGAACTCTGGAATCTTCTTTGCAGATACTGACCTTGAAGCTGAGGGAAGTGAGCAACAAGGGGATTCTCCCTCGGATGTCTGGTCCAATGTCCACTTCAAGCCACTTCTTCATCACATTGTACTGTGTGGAGACAGGGCAGATGTAAGCACACCCTTGGCTGGCCCAGCACTAAAATGAACTCTCTTAGGAACATTGGAAAGGATGAAAATCTCCTCATTTCCCCAAGGAACAGGAATCCATCCTGTGGCCCCACCCACCTCCACATCTCATGGGCTTCAGTCAGTCAATGCCTACACAGATAACCAGCGCTGTGCACAGCATGTAGAAGTCCTGCAAGCTACAGGAATATACTGGCTAGTAACAAGCACAGAAGATGGGAGATGCCAACCTTTTAACAAGATTGATTGATTGATTGATTGATTTACTTATTTTATGTATATGAGTGCTCTATCTGCATGTATACTTGCATGCCAGAGGAGGGCATCAGATCCCAGTACAGATGGTTGTGAGCCAGCATGTGGTTGCTAGGAACTGAACTCAAGAGCCCTAGATGAGCAGATAGTGCTTTTAAGTGCTGAGCGATTTTTCCAGACCCTAGATGCTGACTCTTCAAAGGGTACTAGGCAGAAGGAAAATGGACAAACCAGGCACAGGAACCAGCATAATACAGAAAGGAGGAAAACCAAAGATAACTGCCATGGTGACTGGGATATGAAATGTGCAAACAGCTCATGAACAACCTTATGTGCTGTGTTAAGTCATCTGGGATTATGAATGACATGCCAGAAAGATGATTATGGAAGAGACTCTGGCAAAGAAAGACTTCATGCCAGGTATGGAGGTATATGCTTTTAATACTTGCACTTGAGAGGCACAAGCAGGGGGATCTCTGAGTTCAAGGCCAGCCTGGTCTATATAGTGACTTCTAGACCATCCAAGCTGTAAAACCCTGTCTCAAAAAAACAAAACAACCAAAACCAAAACCAAAAAACCCAAACAGTGGAGAAAGACTGGCCTTTCTTAATGCCTCTGGAGAGGGCTATGAAGCTGAGTGGGCAGTACCTCAGCATTCCCTCTGTCTAGCTCACAGCATTCATGTCAAAGGGAAACCTTGGAGTGGCTATACCAATCAGACTTGATATCAAAGTGAGTCAGTCTCTGGATAGCTCGTTCTGCTCAGCCAAGGCCACACTTGTTCCATGGAGCGGTCTGGCCCTGCAGCGGCTCTATATTGAGGTCAAGGCCTACCATATCCTGAAACAACATGTCCACTTGGTTCTGGGCAGTATCAGGTCTGGTGCTGCTCATCATGTCTTCCACTAGACAGCTGCAATCAGCCATCTAGTGTCTCACATGCTGCTTTAATTTCTCCATCCATAAAAGCAGAGACCCCCAGATTAACATCACATCCATTGACTTAACCACGCAGGCCATCGACTTGGTCATTTTGCCCATTGTCATAGTTTGGACTCTGGCAGCCACCATACTGACCTATTTACTCATTCTCAACCAATTCATTGCTTGGTTCTTCTGGCATTATCTGTACTTATCTTGAAACTTCCATACTGCTTTCTGACAGTCTTTTACATTTTTGGTCATTTAAATCTTTTCCTCTATATTACATAGTTTTAAAGATTTGTTTATTTTTATGTGTGAGTGTTTTGCCTGCATGTATGTATGTGTGGCATGTGCATGCATGGTGCCCAGGGAGGTCAGAAAAGGCTGAATCCCTGGACACCCAGAACTGGAGTTAGCAGACAGCTGTAAGCAACCAGGTGGGAGCTGGGAACTGAACCTGGGTCCTCTGGAAGAGCAGCAATGTCTTAACTGCCGAGCTGTGTCTCTAACTCTCTGTACTACATTTTGGTGTTCTTACTCAGTTCAAAGTTTCAGATGAACAGACTATCTTCAAAGGCTGGAAAGACAGCTCGCTGCAGTCAGTGACCAGGGCAGGACAGGCGTAGCAGGGAGACTGGAGGATCTAGTCTAACGCCTCTGCTCCCTCCGCCACTCCTGTATTTGGATCCCACCTAGAGACAGGCTTTTCGGAGCAGAGGCCAGTGTCATCACCCATAGTCCCACATGGCAGACTCCGAATGCCCAGGGCAGTCTGACTGCAGTTTTGCCCACATTGCTCTGACGCTCTGAAGGAAGGTCAACCCTGCAATTAGGATAGCAACTACTCACCTTCTTGAAGAAGCAAGTCACAGTCTGCCCAGCCTGGTACTGTCTAATCTTCTCCATGGGGCTCACAGAGTGAGTGTTAAGAGCACTGTAGCCACCCTTCAAGTCACTGTTTGAAAAAAATCAAAAGAGAGTAAGCCAACCACTGGGTAGATTCTAACTTCAGAGACCTCCCCCAAGTGGCGGTGAGGGACTCAGCTATTTTCACTTTTATGGACAATCTCTCTCATTAAAGGAGAAGCTTCTCAATAATCAATCTGGGACTAATCATCTTTTCCTGAGTCATTAATCTATGTATAAACTAGGGGCAAACTAGTTCATGAGTCTTTCATAAACATAGTAAATAAAATTATTTTGGCTGTGTGTGGTGGTGAATGTCTTTAATCTTAGTTCTCAAGAGGCAGAGGCAGGTGGCAGTCCAAGACCAGCCTGGTCGACAGAGCAAGTTCCAAGACAGCTAGGGCACAGAGAAACCTTGTCTCAAAAACAAAAACAAAAACAAAACCAAGCAAATAAACAACAAAACTTATCTCCATTCATCTCATAGTACTTTAGCTATTGCTTTAGTTTGCAGAAACGCTCTTACAAACAATTTCGCTGAGCTTGACCACAACCTCATGTGTGAATTAAGCATAGACAGTAACTTGACTGTCTGCTGCTGAACCAGGAGCTGAAGTCAGACCTTAATTCAAAGCCAGGCATCTGGCCTCTGCTAAGCTGCCATTACCAACTTATTTTCAGACATGTAAAAGCAAGTGATGTGAAAGATGTCAATCCACAAATGACTAAATAAAAAATTATATATATATATATATATAAAAAAGACTTGCTAGTCCAACTTACCCACTCAGATGGTTTCTAAAACAAGACAAGACTCATTCACACACATGTACAGTGGTACTGTTAAAAATGCAAAATATGGCTGTATGTGACAGTGAATGCAGAGAATATTCTGACTCAGTAATTCCACACAAGAGAAACGCTTGCACGTGAGCAGAGAGGAATGAGATCAGTGTTGTCTGCTGTGGTGCTGTAAGAAGTTTTCTGTAATTTTAACGCAGATCAGAAACCAGCCAACTGTAAACCATCCTTTGAGAATGAGTACAGTCTGGCACTTTCATAGGATTAAATTACTATCATTTAAAGTGATGCACATATCCCCTGAGGATTTCTTTCAGTAGCATTGGGCTCGTGCATGCCCTAGATAAGTAGTCTCCCTCTGTGCAGCAACCAGCCATTTGAAACATCGTTTTACATGCAACAAGCTTTTGTTAGCCCAGTCCTGCCACACACAGAAAGCCCACAGAGGGCAGAAGCAGAGAATATATTAATAAAAGCCAATCTTAAAGTAAAGGAAACAGAAAAATATATTGTTAAGCCAGGCAGTGGTGGGTACAACACCTTTAATCCCAGCACTTAGGAGGCAGAAGCAGCCGGATCTCTGAGCAATTTGTTCAGACTGTCTGGTCTACAATGTGAGTTCTAGGACAGCTAACGCTACACAAGGAAATCCTATCTCAAAATACCAAAGGGGTGGGGTGGGGGGGAAATAAGAAGAAAAGGTTGCTAACTAAATATGACATCCTAGTGCAAAAGGAAAGACACTGCACTAGAACCAACACGCTGAAAGCGCTTCCTTATTCACAAAGATTGTAAACGACATAATTATTTAAAAACAAAAAACCAACAACCTGTAAAACTAAGGAAACCACATAAAAAAAAAAAGATATGCGGTCTATGCACCAAATATATTAATAATCTAATCTAATCTAAAGTTCATATGCTGAATATGAAGTTTCAAAAACATGGCCAGCAAATGGAACTCAACACCCCAGAAATAATCGCATGGCAGACACAAGCCTCTCCAGAAACTCTGATCCCTCAGGCTGCCGACCTGACACTACTCGGAAGTTATTCCAAAAGTCTTTCCATGACATCCCTTGCTCTGAGACCGACAACCTGCCAGATCCCAGGCTGACCCCAGGCTGACCCCATGTGGCATTCTTATAGTCACGTGTCCTCAGCATGGTTTACTGATGATGACCCATCAACCCCAAAAGGTTGGAGTCCTTTGTGGAAGAAACAGAAAGCAGGGTCAAAATGGTTATGATATGAGAACACATCGCCGTGGGGACCAGTCTCTTATACAGTGTTACTCTGCAGAACTCATCAGATGACCTACAGTTCCACGTCAGCTTTCTGTCACCAAGCACTGAAGTTGCACACACTGGAAGAATACGTATTCTTGGCTACCTGCTTACTTCAGAAATTACTGAGTTCTAGGAAACTGGGTTGAGACAGAAAGGTTCTTTTTGTTAGACACTAGCACACTTGCAAACAGTGTTGACATTCTACACTACAGCCTAGCCTGGCCTTCCATTTGTGGCAATTCTCCTGCCTCAGGCTCTCAAGTGCTAGGATTTCAGGTACGAGCCTCTATGCCAGTGATGTTCAACCTTCTTAATACTGTGACCTTAGTGGAAACCTAAAATTATTGTCATTGCTACTTCATAACAGTCTTAGATGACTCCTGTGAAAGGGTTGTTTGACCTCAAAGGTGTCATGACCCAGAGGCTGACTCTATGCTCACTTTAACTTTTATACATCTAACTAGCCTTAGGACGGTTAAAAAGAAAAAAAAAAAAAGTAGCCAAGAGCTTGAGGCTCATGTGTGGTTGCCACCCTCAGCATCTCAAACAAAAGTATGTAGTCAAGAACTTCTCTGTTCTTTAAAAACAAGCAAATTGTCGTCTCCCCACGAGATGAGATGCTGAGCTGGACCTGTAGGCAAGCTCTCAGTCTGCAGAGTCTCCTGAAGGAAAAAAGGCAGAGAGGCAACTCCATGAAGACACAGACTTAGTGTGTCTGGGTAGAGAAATAAGGAGACTTAGACACAGAGAGGCAAAGAAGTCCTAACACTAGTAGGCTCAAGAAGAACTCGGGGTTATTGGTTCCAAAGACCAGTACTCTCAATGAGACCACTGCTAGGTTTTCCCTCACCTTGGTCGAACACTCAGCTCCAGGATGGTCAGAACAAATCTGGGGTGACTTATTGGGAGAAACCTAGAGAGAAAGAAATCAAATCACTTCTTAGTATTAACATGATGATCCCAGATAACAACCTCTTTCTGCTCCACCCTAACCCAAACTGATTACCACCCACCTCACACCACCATACTAGGCTGACAAAGGTCCACTAAGAACTATCATATCAGGCCCTGAAAAGACTTACTTACTGGAGATCCTATGCTTAATTCTTGAACTTAATATTCTATCCACAGGCCAGATTTTGAACTCTTTCTTGTCTTATTATAGCTAGAAATCCAATTTGATAACACGGCAAGATTTAGAGTAAGGGGCCATTAAAACGGCTTGTGTGCAGGCAAGAAAAGTTGACTTTCTAACTGTCATGCATGGGTCAAAGACTGTGTGTGTCTGTGAGTGCATGTGTGTGTGCATGAACACACACACACACACAAATTGTACAAATAAAAGATGTGCCATGAAGGATGTACTATGAGAACTGCTGACATATGCTGAACAAGAGCATGAGGCAGCAACCTACTATGCAGGTAGCATACACGTTCACTTTGTCAGTTTCCCCAATGACCTTCCATGGTAGACTATGCCATTATTCTCACAAATTACAGAAATGACTCAGCAGGTAATCTGAACTTCAAAGCCAGGTCTAAGTTGAAATCCACCCTTTAATTGCTACATAATATTTAAAACAATAATAAGCTAAAGGATTCTGACTGACTACCTTTTAGTTAACTAAGAGAAACTAGTATTTACATGCAATCCCTGCCTATGCTCCCACTCTTCCTGTAATTGCCACAGTCCCCTCAAAGCCAGCCAGCCCCATCTCCCCAAACCTCATACTTAGATGTCTTCACATCTCGCCCACCGATCACTCTCGCAGTGACTTTCTTGCCAGCTTTCAGTGTGCTCATAGGAGAGGTGCCCACTGGGACATCATCTAGGACCCGGGAGGCATGGATACAGCCAACAAAGCCATCATCTAGAGCCACAACAGCATGTGTGGCCTTCACAGACTTAATGGTCCCGCTGACTTTGTCCCCAATAGCCAGGCTATGCCTCTTCTTAGATCTCAGAGTCAAGTCCTCCTCTTCCTTCTCCTCCTCCTCCCCCTCTTTCTCATCAACTGTCTCTGAATCCCTCTGAGCTGGCATCCTGGTCCTCTTAGAAGCTGGCCCTTCCACAGCCAAAATTAGACCGGTCACTCCTGGTTCTGTGGTCTTGAGGGTGAGGCAGACACCCTGTCCCACATGTAGCTTCTCGGAGTCAAAGTGGAAGGTATCGTTGAGGTGAGATATTAGAGAGAAAGCCACAAGGTGGCCAGTCTCCACCAAGGAGGCCACGGCAAAGGACTCCTCCAGATGCTGCACAATTCCCTGGTGTCTGCTGCTTTTTCTCAGCTGGAAAAGGGAAAAGTCATAGTCAGTCTCCCCACATAGTAGGGTTACCTACTCATGGACCCACATAGCAGTGTATGAAGAAGCTCCCTGATACCCAGGAGCCTGGGCTGTAAACAACTAGCTTTCCCTCCAGACACGGCTTTCCTTCCCTGAACACTCAGTGCCTAGCATCCTCAGAAGCCCCTTGCACTGGTCCCTTTCTTTTAGATAAGGTATTACTATGTAACCCACAGTGGTCTAGAGCTCAGAAGATTCCTGCCTCAGCCTCCCAAGAGCTGGGATTCCAGAGGTATGCCAGCATGCCTGGCTTTGGTTGTTCTGAATTTAAATTCCTAGGTTCCATCTTAGAACTCTGGGGGTTATTATGGTGAATCTGATGCGTAGCTCGGAGACCAACAGCAGCCTGCAGATGGGTCCTGCACTGCTTGTTCCCCACTGAGGCAGGAGACTTTACTGATAGCTCACCATGCACAGAGCACTCTGCTCTGCTTGTCACAGCCCCACTCTGTCCAGGCTCTACTGTGCCTGAACTTCACTTAGACACTAAGAGGGGAGGCGGCCACTATAACAGAGAGCAGAGTATGCTGACATTTCCTGTAACGCCAGCAAGAGGCCGAGGTAAGACAACCACTGAGAGTTCAGGACCACTGGATTTCTAGGCCAGCTTGGACCTGTGAGAAACTGTCTCAAAACAAAAACAACCAGAAACCAAAAAATGCTTGGGATAATGATCAAATGCAGACTGAACACACCTAACAGAAGAAGCTCACACCCACGCCTTTGAGGTCATTGGTACTTGAGACTTTAGGAGTTTTACACTTTAGGCATTTCAGGTTTCAGATCTTCTGAATTAAGACTACTCAATCAGTAATGTGTGTAAATATTCCAAAATTCAAGAGTCTCAGGTTGGTCTGGAGAGATGGCTCAGCTGTTAAGAGCACTGATGGCTCTTCCAGAGGTCCTGAGTTCATCCTATGCATTTCATTTTGAATGAGCAATACACAACCTGTACATCTTACCCAGAGAATATTTCTACAGATTTTGAGTGTTTCCTTAAGCTTATCCTTCTTAAGACAGGGTTCTGTATATAGTTCTGGCTGCCCTGGACCTCGCTCTGAGGACCAGGTTGGTCAAGAGATCTGCCTGCCTCTAATGGAGTAGAGGAGTATGTCACCATGCCCAACGCTCGCAGAGTCGTCAGGACAGAGTGTGGCCATGCTGCCTGGACAGCAGGATGCCCAGAGCAGACTGACTGTTTCAGATTAATTTCAAAAATTAGTTTATAACATCTTCAATATTTATTTCTAATAAAATCTAAATTCTGTAGAGAAACCCTGTCTCAAAAAACCAAAAAAAAAAAAAATATAAATTATATATTCTAATCTTTTAAAAAAAAAAAAAAAAAAAAAAAAAAAAAAAAATTCAAATTTTTCCATTTTTAAAAAAAAAAAAAAAAAAAAAAAAAAAAAAGCACTTGGAGGCCAAGACAGGAATGAGTTCAAAACCAGCTTGTCTCGAAAAACCAAAGACTTAGGTCGGGGTTGGTGTGGGGTGGATGACATCATATATTTACCAACATTAGACCCAGACAGTCCTCTGTTAACAACTGGATGGAGCCAGTCTGTGCCCTGTGAGCCAGGCACACATTTGCCAGGCTGTCTGGCTGAGCTCTGACCCTCCCGACCTGTATGTTCTCTTCACTCCTTACGGTACCTGATTGGCCATAAAAACAGCTGGATCATACAGTCTGTCACCCAAACCAGCATGAAAATCTATTAGCTACACAGGGCAAGAGTCAAACAGGAGCCGCCCCCGTCAGAGCCAGGCACAGTCCCTCCAGCTGTCGGGTCTCTAGACCGGGAGCCGCGTGGAGGTGGAGATAGATACACAGTGGGAACGGGACGTGAGCTTACCTTTCTAGCTTTCCTGTTCACCAAGTCCTGGTGAAGGGACACATGGACCTCCAACTTCAACATGTCCACATGTAGAACCACGACCTTCTTCTTCTGCCCAGGCTCCACCTCCTGCCCTGCAGTGCAGAGGCAAGCACAGCACAATCAGCCTTGTAGAACAGGGCAAGGGAAGGCAGCTCTCTGGGACCCCTCAGTACAAAGGGCAAAGATAGAACATTTGCCACATCTACATGGTTCAGAGTTAGGGAACCCAAGGTGGTCCACCACACATAGCTAAGGCTGGGCTGGGCCTTAATTTATACAATTTAATAACATAAAATCCCAAGTTCACCCAACTAAAGGAAAGGCTCTTCTATCTTAGTTTCTTGATGCTGTAATAAAATACTCTGACAAAAGCACTCATGAGAGCAAGGTTAAGTTCATCACAGAGGGGAAGTCAAGTCAGCAGGAACTTGAAACACAGACCAAACTGCACCCAGTAAAGAAGCAGAAAGCAAAGGATGCCTGCTGCTGTCCAGCTCTCTGTCTTTACTTACATAGTCCAGGAGCACAGGCCATGCCATCCCATTGCAATTAACAAGCCAAGATGTCCCCACTCCAGAGCCATGCCCAGAGGCTGACCCAGGTAATTCTAGGTCCTGTTCAGCTGAGCACTGACACTAACCATCAAAAGATCCACACACAAACATTTACTCTGCTGTCAATGGTCTTGATTTTCATCCACACAGGTAAATATGCTTCAACTGAACCAACTCATCTGCTACACAATCTTGGAAATTCTGTATCCAGCAGAGGGAGAAGCACAGGGTCTCATCAACCATCCATGAGGAGTAAACCCACCTGCCCGGTGGTATCTGCTGGCTCTCAGGATCAGGTCAGGCACAGGGAGCCCGCTGAACACCACTGAACCATCTTCCAACACCTCTTGTACCATGGCATCAAGGACCATCCCTGGGGTCATGTCAGCCAGTGTCTGGATCAATACAGAGTCTACCAAAGGCCCAAAGAAAGCAGGGATTAGTGAGGGACACTCTTAGCAATCCTTTCCTCTGGAAATGTGCCAGCATCATGGAGCAAAAGAATACTCAAATCACTGACACTGAAGGAGTGGGCTCACTGCATGTCCAGTGGCAGGCCAGGTGTGGTGGTGCATGCATTGAGTCACAGCACTTGGCAGGCACAGGCAATCAGATCTGTCAGTTTGAGGTCAGCCTGGTCTATGCACAGTGTGTTCCAGCCAGCCAGAGAGCTATATACACAGTGAGACCTTGTCTCAACAAGATAAATCAAACATAACACAAAACCAAGATCCTTTAGTGTTAGGCCTGAGTTCAGTCCCTGGGATCCATGTGGTGGAAGGAAATAACCAGTTCCCATAGACTGTTCTCTGACCTACACAGGCCTGCTGTGGCATACTCACATTCGCCTGCATGCACACACAAACAAAATTTAAAGAAGAAAGTGAACAGGTTAGTAAATCTACAGTGCAAACCCAATGTCACAGAATGCAGAGGAATTCTGATTCTAGAATAATTGCGGTGGCAAGGGGGAGTTTGCAGCTGCTTACTTACAATGACTTTAAAAAACAAAAACAAAACCTAGGGTCTCCTATATCCCAGCCTGCGCTGGAACTTGCTGTGTAGCTGAGGATGATCTTGAATTCCTGATCTTCTTGTCTCCACCCCTTAGGTTTTAGGATTACAAGTGAGTGCCACTCACCCAGTGTAAGTGGTGCATGTTAGGTAAGTACTCTAGCACACACACTCTACCCACAACTTTTTCATTTTGGAGGATGGGAGCAAGGTCTCATGTAGCCTAGGAGGGCCTCCAACTTGCTATGTAGCCAAGGATAACCTTGAACTCCTGATCCTTCTGCCTTCACTTCCCTCCCAAGCACCAGTATTATAGGCGTGTGCCATCCTATCTGGTTATGCAGTACTAGGGATGCCACCCAGGGTTTGTAGATGCTAGTCAAGCATTCAGGCAGACCTTCACCTTCATCTGGGTGGTAAACAGGTAATCACTTCATAAATACGTAATGCTCACTCCCACTGAAAAGCCTAGATGGGGACTATGGCTCAGTGGGAGAGCACCTGCCTAGCGTGCTTGACGGTCTAGGCTGGTTCATGTCTAGAACTACAAAAAGAAAAAGGGAGAAACAGAGAACAAAGGGGGAAAAACAAAACAAAATAAAACAAAACCCAACTCTTGCAAAGATGGTGTGCAACTACAGCCCCAAGGTACTGGGGCAGCTCAGGCAAAAGGGGCACTGCTCAGACCCATGGCTCAGGAACAAACTGGCCACACAGACCGTGTCAGCTGTTTTAGATTACGGAGCCCCACTCACCCTAAGCCAGGTACAATGAAAGCACATGCTGGTGCTGTGTGGAGGACCGTATCCCCTGCTCCCTGCCTCCACTCCACATGCCCCACCTTGGTTTCTCATGAGGCTGCGAATGCCCTGCAGCTCTTCCAGGCACTGGCACAGAAGGAGGAAGCTGGTGCTGGCCGAGTCCCCCAGACTGCAGTCTGACAGCCGCAGAGACAGCAACATCCTTTGCTTTGACTCATCCACATTGGTCACCTTAGCAACGACTGTCTGACCCTCCACAAAGTGTTCACTTGGAGTGGTTACGAACTTGTCACTCATGATCTGAACAACAGGTAGAAAGGGGGGGAGAGTCATTGTCCATTAAGACAGGCCGGGCTACGGACAAAGGGGGCCTGTGGAGTTTCCCCAGCTCTCTCTGAACAGCTTTATTCCCCTAACATAAAAAAGAGAGGCCCTGGCTGTGCAGCCTAGCATTTAGAGATGACACCCATTTAGAAGGCACACTGCTGGCAAGCCAAAGGGGACAGAACATGTTCTTGTCTCAACACCCAGGGGCAATGCTCCATCCTTCTTTTTCTGGCAGGGGATGCAGTTAGCCCCTCCCTTCTCAAAGTTTAGAAACTGAGGCTAGTGGAGAATTTATTTCTTGAGACAAGTCTCACTAAGTAAACCAGGCTGGCCTCCTAAGAGCTGAGATTAGGAGTGCGCCAGCAGGCCTGGCTGAGGGAATGTTCATGAGCAGTCTGTGCTTGCTCAGTGCTGCTTGTCACACAATTGTCTTCGTCCTCCAGACTCAGTTTACTCAGCAGGCACAAGAGGCTCCACTAAAATATGTCTGGATCTTTTCCCATCTGAAAAGTTTGTAATTCAAGGGCACAAAGGAGAGAAAATTCCAGGGATATACTAGTGTCTTCACACCTTAAAAACCATAGGAGGCTCTAAAACCCACACTGGGATCTTCAGGAAAATTTACCCCAAACATGCTATAAACACAAGTTCAGCCCTTTTTACAATGGAAACAGTCATCAATCAAAGCCACTGTCACCCAATACTGCTGTGTGAGAGACAGGCCCCTTCTCCAGGATATAGAGCAGATGGGAGGACCAACCCACAGGCTGCGCTCGCTCTTCCCGTGGCCTTCATGGCCTTCACACATTAAGTGGTTCCCCTTGACCTTCTTACAGCATTACAGTCTCCTGCTGCTTCTCAGCTCCGCAGGTCTTTGAGACCTCTCCTCAAAGGCCCTTGTGCATAGAACTGAACTTACAGTTTTGGGGGACAGTCCACTAAGACCTGAGGGGAACTGGACAAACACGCCATAGTCCTTGATGCTCTTCACAAAACCAATGAGCAGCATTCCAGGCTGTATTTCTGAGAGGCTCTTGGGGTCCTGGCCACCTTCTACTGTGGAAACCAAAGCTGGCTTCCTGCAAAGAACCTAGAGGAACCTTATTAAGGAATGTCCCAGAAGAAACAAAATGTGTATTGGTCCATTTCTTCTCTCTGTTCTACTGACTTGGGAATTACCATGGGTCTCCAGACAGAGAACTACAGCACGAGCAACACACTAGAGGTTGGAGAAGCCATGTTCTAAAGTATTACCTCAGTGCTGAGGGAACAGCTCCAGTGTGGTCTCCTTCCAAAAGCTACTGATGCTAAGCGATGCTGGACAATCAGTTTTACTCCTTCCTGCTAATTCCTCCCCAGATCCCCGGAGGTCTGCTAACAGGACCAGTGCAAGTCCACATCCAACAGAGGGGTTAGCCAGGGCAGCCCTCCACTAACCATGTCTTGCCACCCGCAAAGCCCATTCTACCCTGCTGCCCTAAGAGTTTTAATCTTTTTTTTTTTTTTTTTTTTGGTTTTTCGGGACAGGGTTTCTCTGTGTAGCCCTGGCTGTCCTGGAACTCACTCTGTAGACCAGGCTAGCCTCGAACTAACGAACTCAGAAATTCGCCTGCCTCTGCCTCCCAAGTGCTGGGATTAAAGGCGTGCGCCACCACTGCCCGGCTAAGAGTTTTAATCTCAAGGTTAGTAAAAAAAAAAAAAGGTAGTGTTGTTCTGAACACCCACAGGCAGCATCAAGCCTTATACTTGTACTGAGCCTTATAACAATAACAGGGAAGACCTTTCTGGGGAACTGTCACCCAGCCCAGGCAGTACTCCTTGGACCTGCTTGTCCTTTCCAGGGGCTTTCCAGGGCCAGACCATCAATGTGGTCTTATGAAAGCATTTTTAAACCTCAAATAGTTGGATTTTTTTCCCTCCTAGTTCTAGTCTAGAATTTCCCATCCCAGTGCCCATGGCCTCCCCCTTCCCTCAAATACCAGTCAAGGATACAATGTGTCTCTCACTCTGGCTCAGACACAGAACTCGGTGGAGGGTGTCACCTGTGTGGAGCCAGTGATGCAACAGTGGGCCATTGGCAACATGGTCAGACAAATGAGGCGTGGGGAGGAAAGCAGGGGTGTTGTGGGGCAGGATGGCCACCTCCAGCCCATTTTTGGTCTTCTCCAGAACCTTCACATCCACCAACTGCACAGAATCAGAAAAGGAAAAATTAGCACCCTTTCTGAGCAAAGAGCTCAGAGGTACTGGATCCCAGTATCCAGGCCACCAGGAGGCTAACACCAAAGGCACGTGCCTCTAGACCCCACATCTCCACCCACACCCCACACCAGGACTCCTCTGAATTCCCCTTGCCAGATCCTCTGCTGATTCCTGGAGGAAAAAGGCACTGCAGGCTGGCCTTAGCAAAAGAGGAGACTGGCAAGGCCGTGCCATACTACTTTTCTCTCACGACAGCTTCCATTTGCTAAGGCGGGCAGGAAAGAGGGCCCAGAATCTCAGAGCCACCCCTCTGTTCTTCCGAGGGTTCTAGTACTTCTCCAGCGCCACGATCACCTGTCCAGGTACCTGCCCAATGTTCACGGCTCTTCCTTTCTTCTGACTCTCCTCAACACGCTCATCCTTTGGCTCTGAATCACTCAACAGTTTGAAGGACAGGAGCATCCTCTCTTTGGAAGGCTCACAGCTCAGCACTGCCACCTTTACCACCTGGTGAGAAATCATGTGTGTGTGGCATTGTCTGCAGCAGCAGGCCTTCAGAACCTGGAGCAAAGTATGCTCCATGAGCTCTGCAGAAACCTGGGAGATCCACTAAGATCTTAGATCAGATCAAAGGCAGGAAAAAGATGACGGATACAGAGACTGGTTATAAGCCTAATGTTTTAAGAAGCTCTTTTTAAGAGAAACACAAACTCACTAGACCAACACTATGTCTCTGGTGTGGGCCTCCGTCCACTGGATTCCAGGGAGTACTTCTAGGTTAGCACCCACCCTCTTTTAACTGGCTCGGGCCCACTTTATCTGTGCTCCCTCCTCTTTCTCTTAAAAGTAGCTAGATGCTTACTGTTTCTTTAAACCTGTGACCATAGAGTCACTAAGGGTAGGAGGCCTGCACAGGGAAGGGTTACCTGGCCAGTGTAAAAAACCTTCTCTGGGTCAGGGATATGCTGGGCACTGAGCTCATGCTTGGGCACTAGACCCTGTACACCATTGTAGAACTTTACAATGCAGCCATAGTCCTTGACCCTTATGATAACACCATGCGTCTGTAGGCCAGGCTTGGCATCCTCATAGCAGGTAATGGCAGGTAGTTTGGATGTGATAAGGGTTTTCTTCAGGGTCATTATTAGCTTCTTGGCTTCAGGTTCACAGAGCAAAACCTGGGGGAGAAGATAGAGGTTATCAACTAGTCATTTGTTACCAAGACAGTCACTGACTGGTCTACGAACCCAAAGGCCCATGGGTCATTCTCCAAAGACCAACTACCTTTTTCCTCGAATAATCACAGCTGTAAACCTTTTGTGTCCTGCAGGATGGCCATCTAAAGCCCAGAAATCTCTCTCATTCTCTTCAATGACACCTAGCCTGGAGTTTCAGAAACTTACAGTAGCACACCTCATGTCTAGTGGGTCACCTTGTTACTGTGTTAGTGCCATTTGTTAGTTATAATCTAAGGCTGAACAATCCAATTACCTGTTTTTAATTCCTCAACCTCACTACACAAAAACTTGCATCAATGTGAAATTATGGGCCTTTATCGATCAATAATACTGAACGCAAACGTAAGAAGACCCAGCTCTAGTCAGTGGTATGTTTAAGTGAAAGATCATGCTTACCACACAAGAGGCACTGAGTTCAACCATCAGTACCAGGAAAAAAACAGAACCAGGGACTCCCACTGCCTCTGTCCAGGCCCTGTGCTGGGTCCTTTGTATAGTAACACTCTTTATAAAAGATTCTCGGGGATTCAAGTATTTATTGGAAACCTCTCATGGTTTTGTGGCATAATCTGGGCCACTGTGTTTTGTTCTGTTTTTTTAACTAAGTTAATTTATTGTGTGTGTCAAAGGGCATGCATGTACCATGGTACTTGTGTTTGTATGTGGGAGTAGGGAGCATGGACATGCCATGTATGTGCATGTATGTTTGTGGAGTGGGGGAGGTATGCAGGTACCATGATGTATGTGTGCATAGGTCAGAGGGTGGTTCTCTTCCTTCACTATGAGGGACCTGGGAACCCGACTTAGGCTGCAGCAAGCTCCTTTACCACTGAGCTACCTCCCAGTGTCTGGGATACATTTTAAATAAGGCTTTGCTTGGTATACGTTTTATACACAATAATGGGTTTTGCTACAACATTTCATAGCTATTTCTGAGTCTGACATATCCCCTGCTCTTCTACAACTTCCTAACCTTGTCCATCATTTCTAGTTTAAGCTCCACCTTGGTCCAGAAGGTATTACTAGCACATGAGGCTAAATCTGAGAGCTGGTACTGCCATGTACTAGCTGAGGGGCTCTACAGATACTTGGCTTTTTCTTATCCTCGGAAATAGGAACAATCTAGTTACTTCATAGAGAGATTCTATGACACAGAACATATAGTGTGTGGTAGTGGCTACTGACATGATTCTGTAGCTGAGTCCACCCCTTCCCTTTTGACCTCTGAGCTCTGACTATAGCATAAAGCCTGTACCAAACCATGTGATAAAAGGTCACATACCTAGCCTGCTCATTTTTCCTATATGGATATTTTAACTTAACTTTACTACACAAGCCAAGTCTCAGTCTTCTCTTCCCAATGCTAGGTAAAGTACTAAATACTCGGCAGAGGTTACACACTCATTTTACAGAAAAAGGTTAGGAACTTCAGCCAGAACCCCTCTCTCCCCAAAACCCCAACATGGACTCACCCTGCACATGACCTCATCCCCTGTGCTGTACTTCTTCTCTGGGTTCTTCATCATGATGTCAGCCAGGTGCATGGAGGGTACCAGGCCTTTTATTTGTTCACCCACCTTCACCAGTATCCCAAATGGCTTTATGGCCAGCACTGTGCCCTACAGAGTCCAAAGAAAAGACATCATGATACCGCAAGAACAATATTTTCTCTTACTAGAGTTTTCCAGTCTGTTTCCGTGCCCACTTCCGTGATCTCACAAGGGTAAGCCACTCCGTGCCACCAACCCAGACTTAGCCAGGCCTAAGCATGTACTCCCTGTCCTCTGTGAAGGAACACTCTAGAAGAGATTATAACTCTCAAGGCATGAACTCCACCTAAGAAGGAACTGCTCAATTACTGCTCCATGCAGGAGGAGCAGTAACTGGACCTGTTTCTGACTTACAGCACACAACTAACTTTCAATTTGCTCTAACAGCTGCCACCAAATCCCAAACCCCACTTGTGACCCACTGTCTCCATTGGTTGAGGTTAGGAAGATTCTACTTTAAAATTTAAGTCACTCAAGGGAAGAGCAGAGATGTCAGTTTTTAGACAGCAGGTACATGTCTTCACATGAACTAAGAAGAGAACTAGTGAGTGGACAGTTAACATGTAAATAAGAATACCTGACAGTGGAGAAGGACCCATGGACTGCTTCAGTTCTTACCTTTACTACTGTCCCTATTTTGATGTCATGATATCTAAGAAATGGAGCTGTAATAATTGATCTAGAACAAAAGAAAAATACATGATTACAAAGTCTAAGGAAGGAGTTGCCTAAAACTTAGGAACTTTATAATCATGCCACCAAGAAAGGATACCCTCATCCAGCAAGGCCAGGGAAAGTAGAAACACATATAAACATTTATTCTGACACTTACTTCCGCAGAGAAAGCAAGGCCAGCTCATCCATTTGGCTGTAGTCAATGATTCTACACTTGTGAGTGCTCCCTGGCTTGAAGGCCTCAGCATTGAATGCTTTCTTAGAATTGGAGAGGTGGCTGAGCTACGGAATACAAAATGAGTGAAGAGAAGTCAGAAACATAGCTCTGCACAGAGTTCGAAACACACTGAGATGATAATACACTCATCATCTACTATAAAAATAGAACTTTGAGAGATGGAGAGATAGCTCAGTGGTTAAAAGCACTGGCTGCACTTTTAGATGACCCAGGTTTAATCCCCAGCATGTAACAAAAAGGCTTTGCTGAGCTTTGGTCTGGATCCTATTTCCTTCCTATCCTTTCTCCCCACTGGCCAGGTATTACACATGGCATGTAGCTGCTAAGCATTCGGAAACAACAAACAGGCATTGTTCTGACTTTGTGGACAGCCTTTCACACTGGAGGCTATCTAAGAACAAGGGATGAAGGACGTAGAAAAGAACCCATCTTCCCTAAAGTCCTTCCTTCCAGTGATGAAATCCTTGACCAAAGAAGCCTCCTTACCCGGGCATAGGCCAGTACCCCATCCTTCAGCCTGAAGATGGCCCCAGCCTTCTTGAAAAAACCCTGAACAGGAACATTATCCAGCACAGCCCCTAGCTGCTGGTAAGAGATTCGGGTGAGTGGACGGCCAGGATGCAGGAAGATGGGACGCAGGCTCAGCCGCACAACTCTGGTGCGAGGATGAACGCAGAGGATGCAGGCTTTTACCTGGACAAAACAGCAGAACGAGCAGATGAGCAGGCAGTGTCCATGTAATACAGAGAGCAGGCCCTCTAAGGGGTCTGACGATCCATGCTAACCAGGTTAGTACTGAAATCTTCAAAAACCACCAATGTCAGCCATGTAATAAAGCTGTGTAGAAAAGTCAAACAAACGTTCCAGAGGGACTGACTAAGTATTTGTCAAGTCAAACGAATGTTCCAGGGGGACTGTCTAAGTATTCGTCAAAACCTTGAAAATCCATCTGACCAACAAGGTTAAAACACAAAGATTGTGTCAGCTCTTCACGCAAATAGGACCACCATAAAACAGCACTAGAAAGTTCACTATGACATTAACAGTATTGGCCCAAATCAGGAGGAAAATTTTTCTCTGTAAGATACATAAGTATGTACGTATATATGTATGTGTGTGTGTATATGTATGTATGTATGTATTATTATTATTAAAGTGAAATGGAATGATTTAAGAATTTAAAAATTCTAAATAACATACATTTTAAAGTACTCATTTCATTGTAAAAATTTTTAACATTTCGGTATCTATAGAAAACCCCCCAGGGTTACTTACTACTAAATGCAACTCTAAAAGCAGTGTATTAATCAAGCAGATTTTTATTTGGGTATTTTTTAAACATCAGATCTAAGCTGGGTGAGGTAGCTTATGCCTGTAATGCCAACATTCTAGGTGAAGAAACAGGAGGGTCAGAAACCCAAGGACATACTTGGCTACAACAGACAAACAGAGCCAGCAGTGTGGTTCAGTGGCTATCACTGGGTAAAGGCAACGTGGTCCAGCGGATGCAGTGGGGAACAGCATCTGTCTCCAAGGCTGACAACCTGCTGAACCCCAAGACCTGCATGGTGGAAAAAGAGCTGAGTCCCACCAAGCTGTCCTCGGACCTCTACACACGTGCTGTGCACACTTACTTTTCTTCCCCAACAAACAAGCAAAATGCAATAAAAAAAAAATCTATAGGACATACAGAATCACATGGAAAAAAAGGGAGGAGTAAGTCTGGAGAGTTGGTTCATCTGTTAAGAATGTGTACTGCGTTTGCAAAGGACCCAAGATCAGTTCCGAGTTCATAAGCGCCTGTAACTCCGTTTTAGACAACCCAACCCACACACGTAATTAAAAACAAATTGTTTTTTAAAATGGAATATTTGAGTGGTGAGTCCTGAAAACCCACAAGGGCTTCAACCATGCTGGGTAAGCACTCTAACATGAGTTAGACGCAGCCTTCAGACCTCTTCTCTCAGGATCAGGGATGAGGAGTCTATGAGGTGTTAGAGGGTTGAGGGAGGTGGTGTGTGTGTGTGTGTGTGTGTGTGTGTGTGTGTGTGTGTGTTTTCTGACTGTCCTGGACTTGACCAGGCTGAGACCTCTAACCTGAGCTATCATCCTGCTTCTGTCTCCTGAGTGCTGCATGAGGCACTGATCCTGGCCTCACAAGCTGTTTTAAACCACATTTTTCTACTTGAAAAAAATTGTGTTCTCCTGTTCATGCTTTAAAGTAAAAGCCAAAAGCTGCCTTCTGTGGCTGTTCCTTCTCTCATCTCAGTCCAGCCACTGGCCATTTCTTGCACCTTCCAAAGCACCTTTCAGCATTACCCTTATCTCACTATGAACCATACACATGCAGTCCTTGGACCTCCCCTGACTAGACACCGACAGCTGACCAAGACACAGCTAGGAACCTTGAAAAGCTAGCTGGAACGTCTCTTACTGTTTGCTTTGGAGAATAAGATCCCATCTTCTTGGGTTCCAGATGCATGAAGTCAACCAGGCCCGTGAAGAACGTCAGGAAATTTAGCTGGAGTCCAAACTGAGTTACCTAGAAGTAAGCATAACAAGTTATCTAAAGAATTCTATGGAGAGGCCTGGAATGTGAGAGACAGTTCATAGCAAATATTAGATCCCACAACTACCACAACTATGCACGTCTCCTCCCATAGCCACCTTATCAATAGGAATCATTTAATCTTATTAGAAAGCAGAGTCTTTGAGGGATAGAAAGACCAACCATGACCAGGGTCAGGGTGGGAGCACAGTTCTTTAATTTCATCATTCTGAAGGCTGAGGCAGGTACATCTTGGAGGTCAAGGCCAGGAGATTCTACATAGAGAATTCTAGGACAGTCAGGACCACACAAAGGAGACCTTACCTCAAAAACTAAAGGAAGAAAAAGAAAGAACAGACCATGACTATAAAGCATATCCCGAGATGCTGAGACAAAAGGATCAAGACTCTGAGGCTAGCTTGATCTACGCAGTGAGCTCCTGTGTCAAACATACAAATTACACACAAATAACAACACATGCTCATTCATAGTATTAGTATAGATAAGCACATTAGTAACCTTAGCTTTCCGAAGTCTGCTTGCCACCAAGCCTGACAACCTCAGTTCGATCCTTGGGAGCTTTATGACTGAAGAAGAAAACTGAATCCCACAAACTGGCCTCTGATTTCCACATGGGCATCATGGTATGTGTGCTTACACACACTCTCTCAATGGAATTTTTAAAAATTTTATTTTAGATTAACTTAGTTTATGTGTCTGAGTGGTCTGACTGTAGTGTATGCATATGTGCATGTCTGGTGCCCGTGGAGATCAGGAAAGGAGGTCAGATCCTCTGGAAGTAGAGCTACAGATAGCTGTAAGGAATCATGTGGGTGCTAGGAACTGAACCCAGGTCATTTGAAATAGCAACAAGCATTCTTAACTGCTGAGGCAACTCTCTAGCCCCATAAATATAATTTTTTAAAAAAATTTAACTGTATTTAAAAAAAAAGAAATTTGGTATAATAGAAGCTTATCTAGGGCATAATAACACACTCCTTTTATCTCAGCACTTGGAAGAGAAAGGCAGAAAGATCTGAGATTGAGGCCAGCCTGGTGTCTAAATAGTAAGTTCCAGGCCTGCCAAAGCTCCATGATCTTAAATAAATAAAAAAATAACTTTGTCCCAAGTACTGTCATATCAACAACGGAAACATTCCAATTGCTCAATGAACAGAAAGATATCCTCACGGACAGTAGCTTTCTAAGTATGCATATTAATATGTTGTTAAAAATTACATTTTACAGGAATTACATAGGTCAGTGGTCAAGAGTGTGCACCACTCTTCCACGGACCAGAGGGTGGTTTCCAGAAGCCACATCGGACAGCTCTCAACCACCTGTAACTTGAGCTCTGGGAAAATCCAGTGGCTCCACTCTCTACAAGCACTGTACAAACACACGCATACTCACACCCCAAACACTTAATTGCAAATAAAATAAATAGCTTCATTTGTTTGTTTGTTTGTTTGTTTGTTTTTGAGATAGGGTTTCTCTGTGTAGCCCTGGCTGTCCTGGAATTCACTCTATAGACCAGGCTGGCCTCAAACTCAGAAATCTGCCTGCCTCTGCCTCCCAAGCTCTGGGATTATTTATTTATTTAACCACCTGTCAAATAAATCTTTTTTTTCTTTCTTTCTTTCAGAACAGAAAGAATGAGCGGCTTACCTTCTGCACCTGAGCTCTGACCACCAGCCCTGGCAGTAAGGTATTCAGGTTCCAGCTTTGCTCCTCAGTTGCAAAGGCAGAAGAGACGTCTGAGTGCTCTATAGAGAGACGCACAACTGCTCCGTTGCTTTTCACCTCTTCAATCAGACAGGTCAGGTACTGGCCGACTTTGAACTTAGCACCTGCAAACCCAGCCCAGCAACCAAGAGGAAATTATACTTTCATGAGAAGGGTCCTTAACCAAGCAAATGTGGACAGAACCACAGCCCACTCACCCAATGAGCATCTAACACTCATACACCAGGACAATGTTAACCTAACTGATCAACTATCTCAAAAAATGTAAACAAATAAGCCAGCAGTGCCAGTCATAGGTGGTTCTAGGAGTCCAGGTTCAGTAAAATGTCTGAAATGAAAACTGAGCCAGACCATACAGAGACTTGCTCACTCTCTGGCCCTTCATGTATCTTCTTTCCTGTCAGCTGGCATTACCTACTGATGTCCCCAAAACCAACCGGCCTTCAGGGTCCCCACTCTGTCTTGCTAGTAATCAAAGGGGTACTGAAATATACTCATTTACATATAATCCCATATGCTAGAGCTTGCTCTCACCCACCAGCCACACTCTGCTCAACCTCACCTTTGTTCTTCTGTCGAATGTATTCTTGTGCCTTCTGAAGTGACAGAAAAGCTCTGGTCCCACCAACACCAATGTCCACTAGGTAGCCATGGTCTTCCAGACTTGACACTGTACCTGTTAGCAGCTGGGGGAAAAAACATTCCCAGAAGTTTCAGGAAAAGGTAAACACAGTATCCTCAAATTTCACTACCATACAAACGGGAACATTACAAATGTACTGATCACTGATCACGACATTCAACCCTGTAACCACAGCTCCCTACCAGAGGAAAGAGAAGACATCAGCTTTCTCATGGAGTTTAAAGGTTTTCTTTCTGGAAAGTGAGCGGTGCTATATACAGCTCAAGTATGAAGTGACACATAGATACTTCCATATTATACAAAGAACGATGGGTTCCTGGCTCCACAGAGTCAAGCCCTGAGTCAGGACTACCAGAAGAATCAAAACCGTCCTCTTAAGCTTCCATTCTCGTCCATTTCAAGACAAGCAGTGCAGCTCTGACATCAGCTGCTCTCTGCGAAGTCACTGGGATCTCAAATGGAGGAGAGAGGCTGCCTATTGCCTCCCACATTTGCTGTGAGAGCTGCATCAGACACAGTGGCTAAAAGCACAGTTATGGAGAGTGGTCCTACACTTGTCAACTTGCTACAGCATGCTTTACTTTTACTCTCTTTGTAATGAACTAAATCCTATTGAACTTCCAGGCCTTTCCCGAGCCCCACTGCTTCTAAGCAAAAACCTCAAGATCCATCTGACCTTCAATCACCAAACGCTTGAGTGCAGCTCCCTCTGTCATACCTAGTGGATTGGGAGGCTCTGGCCTGGAATAAATCCACTTCAATCTCCAGAGCTGGGCATTAAGGCAGCTGTGAAGCTGAGTGCTCTGGCTGCCCTTTGCTGCATTCCCTGACATTTCACACGGCAGGGCTCTGGACACACTTACTCTGTAGGAACTGGGGAGGGAGCAGCAGGAGGAACTCTTTCAATCTCCAAGCCCCCCATGGATGCTCCCTGCAGACACTTGACTATGATACTAAAGAAACAGACTTCTCCTTCCTCCTTCCACAGTAAGAAAATGAGGTTCGAGCCTTCAGTGTTCGCTAAGTACCCAGCAGAGCACTGCTCCAGGAAGAACAGCTACTAAGCCGAAAGAAAAGGCGGCTCAGACCACACCCGGGGCCCGACTCGCTCCTCCTCCCAGTGGCGTCCAGATACATACCATGCCAGGCCTCAAGGCCTCAGCACTCAGCACTTTGTTGACACGTTTGGGGTTCACAGAAAGCTTGACGCTCTTCTTGCCACTCTCTGTGACATCCAAGCTGCTCACCACACACCTCACCAACATTCCAGGTGAGAAGAGCTCAGGCAAGCGGAGTAGATCCTGAATAGCCGGAATGAGAGAGACCTGATGCATATGTTCCCTCTAAACCAAGAATCCACTGCTCAACTCAGTAACTTCTCATGCTCAAACCCCTAAAGAACCCAAAAGATAGATGGGGTAAACTTATTTGAGAGGGAGTGCCTATAGTTTGGTCAAAATTCTGAGTTTAGGCATACAGCCTTTAAATTATTCCATAAAACAGGTAGATGTCAATGACTGATAGTGTTGTCTGAATTTATTGTGTCCATTTCATCATTTGTTTAGCATCCTATGAAAGTCTTCCTCTCGATCTCCTTTACCTGCTAAAATACTAAGTTCCATAGCACTATCTCCATTCCCTAGTCCTCTTATACGACACTTACTTATTGGTACTGTGAACGGAATCCAAGGCCCCACACATGCTATATAAACACATCCTACAACCCTGAGTTAGGCCTGTCGCTCACCCATATCAACGGTTAATGGTTTTTGTTTCTATCCCACTGGCCCCTTCTGCTGCTTCTGACACCAACTCTGCAATTCAGCATTTACTCTAGACTCAGTCTTTCAGGCTCTTCCCATTCTAAACTGATCCCTGTAAGCAACTTCTTCAGGTGCTATATACTCATTCCCAACCAATAATCACCTGTGTCTGGATGTCTCAAGTGTACCTCAAATTCAACACAGCAGCCAAAGAATAACCGTCTCTCTCATGAAACCATACACAGTGGAAACCTTACAACTGGTCCCCAATATCTCTCTGCCTCATTACCCATGTCACATCATCAGGCAATGGCTTTACCTCCTTGATCCTTGATAAATCCTCCGCCATTGCTCTCCATCTCGCTCTTCCTATGCTAGCAACACTGCCTTCTCTGCTACAGCCTGACTTGCTTGATCTCCCTCCTTTCTGTACGTGGGAAGTGTTCATCCTGCAGAGCTCAGCTGCAACAGCCCTTCCTTACGCAGGTGTTCTAGGTTCCCTAGACTGAGTCAAAAATCCCTGTATTTTTAAAAAAAATATACCCTTGGGCCAGCACAATGGTCTAGCAGGTAAAGATGCTTGCTGAACAAGCCTGAGGATCTGTGTCGGCTCCCAGGAACCCACATGGTGGAGGGAGAGATCTGAATTTCACAAGTTGTCCACACATCCATATGAGCTCCACACAAAAAGTTGCACACCCACACAAAACAAATGGGAAAGATTGAAAAGATAGTGTTCTTGTGTCACAGGTATTTTCTTTTCCTAGCATCTGGCAAAGTGTCCAGTCTCCATCTCTTTGGTCTATTCTAACTCCTGAGCCAGCTTCATTCTGACAGCCCTTACCTCCAGAGGCTCTTCTTGTGCCACCTGCTCGTTCAGCTTCTGGGTGTAGGCGTCACAGATTTCAGTCACTTGCACAAATCCTTGGAGGCCATTGGGAAGACTGACCACCAGCTCCAGCTCATTCACCTCCTTCACACAACCCAAAATCCGCATCCCTTCACACAGGGACTAGAAAGAAAATATACACAGTAAGATAGACAGCCATGATGGGAGTTAGGGCACTGTGGCTTTCTGGTCCCAACACGGCTGCTAGAGGAATTTTATAAAGGAAAGGAGAACTTCTGCACGTGCATCTATCCAGACACATCAGCCATCTGGCAGGTGCCATGAAAGATCTTGATGGGAACAGCACACCAGGCTGGGCTGCTTGAGGAGGTTTCACCTTCTGCTGTATCCTAGCAACCCTCATTTAACACCTGGAAGATAGGAGAGTGAATACACAGGCCACCAAACCATGACACGGCTCCTTGAGATCTCAAACATGGGGAAAATGGGCTTTCTCTTGTCAGTACTATTTTTACATGAAATCTCTAGTTGTCTAAAGTGCCATCAAGTCAAACAAATTTTTAAAAATATCATTAGAAAACAAAGTATCTCTGCAGGCTGACGAATCTTTACTGTCAGAATAATTTGGCTGTTTTTCTACTTTAAAATGAACATATACTGGGGATGGGGGGGATAACAAAATATAAAAGTTTAAGAACCACAAAAACTGCCGAGCAGTGGTGGCGCACGCCTTTAATCCCAGCACTTGGGAGGCAGAGGCAGGCGGATTTCTGAGTTAGAGGCCAGCCTGGTCTACAGAGTGAGTTCCAGGACAGCCAGGGCTACACAGAGAAACCCTATCTTGAAAAACAAAAAACAAAAAACAAAAAAACAAAAAGAACCACAAAAAAACATTTATCTGAGATCATTTCATATCTACAAAATGAACGAGTGGAGGCCAGGTATGGTGGGCATACCTTTAATCCCAGTTCTCAAGAGGCTGAAACAGGAAGATCTTTTAGTTCAAGGCCAGTCTGGTCTACACAGTGAATTCTAGACTAGTCAAGGGCTACATAATAAAACCCTGTCTCCAAAAACAATCATAAATAAATAAATAAGCAAATAAAAAAATAAATTAATAGGACTAGAATTACTGCTAAAGTCATTGTCACTTCCAACATATTTTTAACCATTCCCATGATTTGCCTGTTTATTGAGACAGTCTTATGTATCTCAGACTAGTCTGGCACTCATGGATGACCTTAAGCTTCTGATCCTGCTAACACCAGCTCCTAAGTGACTGCAGGCATGTACCACCACTTCTGGTTTATGTGATATTGAGGCTCAAACTTGGGCAGAGGGTTGGAATAGGGGGAAAAGGAGACAGGGTGGCTACACACAGCAGGACACACCTGCAGTCCCTGTACTTGGAAGGTGGAGGTCCTCGGCTTCGTAGAGACCTAGGCAGCATAGGATCTTACCTCAAAAGCCCCAAACAGAAAAAAGACACCAGGCATTGGTTAGCAATCAAGGAAACAAAGCTCATTTCTCACAGTATGCATGAGTCTCCACAGACACACACAGGAAACAAATAATTGTAATTGTGTGTGTGTGTGTGTGTGTGTGTATAAAGAAGGAAGAAAAAGGGGAAAGAACACACACAAACTTAAGGAATATGTTAAGAGAAAAGCAAATGTTAACAAACCTCAAGACTAAGAATTTCAAACTTCTCTCTCATAGATTTGCTGGATTTTCTCTTTTCAATTTTCAATTTTTTTATTTTTGCTGGCCCTTTCTGGCTCTTTTTCCTTTTAATGGGACCTTCTTCTGTGGAAATCTAAAGAGGGAAAAAGATCCATAAAGATGCAAAGGATGAAAAGCTGAAATCTTAGCCATTACCACACATTTAGGGTCATGTTATCTCACCCTGCTAGTTTAAACTCTCCCAAGCCACTCCCCCATTCTTTTCATGTCTGCTACACTCCCGAGCCTAGCATCCAGGCACCAGTGTTCCCCTTGCCCATGATGTGAGGCGCCTCCTTCATCTTCCCAATGTAAAATGCCAAAGCTTTGTGGTTTCAACTAAATATATTACTTCCCTGAACTTCAGTTCCTCCGCATGGAACCATGACTTCTACTCTAAAATATCCATGGAGAGATTCTGTAATACTAAGGCCACACACCTAAGTGGCAGTTTCCTTCTCTCTAGCATCTAGACCACAAACTAATCTATGAGAATGTGTTTCAGTGAACTCTGTCTACTAGGAGTCCCTTTAAAGAAACACACAATGATTAGGGCTCGAGCAATGGCGCTCAGGAGTAAAGTACTTGCTGAACTTCAATCCCCAGCCCCCAAAACAAAGCAAAATTAGTATTTAGTACTCTTTTTCCCCATCCTTAATCAAGTGGCACAGACTCCCTAAGGACAAATTACAATAGCACTTCAACATCAAATACTCAATCTCATGCTTCAAAATTAGCCTGAGGTGGACGAGCCTCTTTAACAAGTCCAATTTCCAGAAGTGACATCAAAGAGAAATAAACTGGAAAATAACTGCTTCGAACCAGCCTCAGTCTTCCCAAAGATGCTACAAAGATGTTTCTGGTCTTGGCAAAGCAGCATACCACTTACATCAAATAAGTTGTCTTGTTCAACCACCTGCTGGGAAGACTTCTCCGATTTGTGGGTTTTCCCGGTACCCCCTCGGGGGAAGCTTTCTTCCAGGTCTGCCATGTTTGAGCCTCCTGTGGAGGAGATATCTTTCCTGATGGAAAGATAATGGTGAGCTGTAGCACTGATGGCAGGCTTCATAAAACACATGATCAATAGGCAAGAGAACCTTCTAGCAATGAACAAGATCCAAGAGTGTGATTAAACAGTTGATGTGCTGCTGAGGGGCAGTGGCACACACCTTTAATCCCAGCACTAGGGTGGCAGAGGCCGATGGATCTGAGAGCAGCCCGGTCTATAAAGTGAGTTTCAAGACAGCCAGGGCTGCATAGAGAAACCCTCCCCGTCTCAAACCCCCTTCCCCCAAAAAAATATATGTCAGGCTCTTATTAATCTATTTTTTCATCTTTCCAACATTGTCTACCTCAAAATCACAAACTAAACACTGTGTATGATCTTCTGGGAAATGGATTCTATGTAGTAAATGTTCATTCAGTATTAATGACTGTAATTATGTCAGGTGTGTGTGCGTGTATATATATAAAAATCCTTACTGCCAAACATAAATTATTCAGAAAACAAAATGTAAGTAATTTTAAATACAAATCAGATTATAAAGCATAAACAAAAAAAGAAGTGGCAGGATTCAGTAAAGATGAAAGTTTCTTAAGAATGATGCTTTTGAGTTGTACATTAAATAAATATATAAATAAATATCCAGGTCTGGTGGCCCATGCCTTTAACTCCAGCACTTGGGAAGCAGAGGCAGGCCTATCTCTGTGAGTTCCAGACCAGCCAGGGCTACATAATGAGGCCCTGTCTCAAAAATAACTAATAATAATAGCAAATAGAAATATGATGGTAGACAATGTGAAAAAAAAAAACACAGAAACAAGGAAAAGCTTATTTCTCAAAATACATCAGCCATTTGCCTGTCAAACAATCCTTCAAAGGCTTTCTAAAAAGCTGAATTATTCAAATTAACTACAGGGGAAATAAAGCATAACAACTTACATCTTAGAAAACAATTTGGCTCTTTGGTGAAAGATACTTAATTTAAAAATTAATAGTTTGTGTTTACTTGGCACTTCAGAGCCTTGGGGAACGTGACAAAACAACGGTGAACAGCATTCTTCAGTCTACAGATTGGACAGAAGAAAAATGAGAGCAAGTAAAGTGAGTGTAAGGATTTAAACGACGCACATCAGGGAAACCATGAGAACCAGGACTAGGTATAAATGAAGACGCAAGGCAGCCCGGTTGGTTCTGGGATACCTAGGAAGAAAACTTTATTGACCCAGTGAGACTGTGAAAGAGGCGGCGACCGAGAGAAAATGTAAGGTTTGTTCTGTATGGGTGCATGCTTCATAGAAACAGTATAGCTCTCGAATTCTATTTTGTTGGGAAACCAACTCTTAATTCCCATTTTAAACCTGATGAGACTGAGGCACCAAACAGTCTGGCGATCACGTACAGAGAAGGCACTTAAGGTACCTGAAGTGGACATCCTGGCTTAAAGGAACTGCTAGCGCAGAGGGGATTGAGGGAGCGGACTTCCCATCCCAACCCAACTGTGCTTAGAGGGAAACCCGGAGTCCCAGGCCAGGAAGCCGAGGTGACAGGCATGAGGCCTCCTCCCTCCTCGCCGAAGCTTCCCGGTCATCAGTCCCACGGCTCCCACCGCTGCATACCTCACGGACCGCTTCCACGCAATCGCAAGCACAGAACAGGGAGCCGACAGCCCCACGCGACTCCTCCACGAGCGTAGGTAACACCAGGGCTACTTCCGTTATGACGTCGGGCCAGACGCCGGCTGAGACAGGAAGTAAGAGGGCGGGACTTGACGTTATAGCCAATCCACGCAGAGGGCCGAGTTACCGCGGCCTGTCGGTCGCGTGCGAGGAGGGGGTGTCTTCCGGTTCAGCAGAGCTAGTCGCTGCGTTTGTTGAAGGACATCTGCTGCGGAATTTGTGATTCGGACGAAGGTGGGAGAGAAAATGCTCTCGGTTGCTCGGACTGGTGACTGAGCTTTGTAGGGCCGGCCAGAATTTGGCCGGTTTTCCCGCCCCGGAACAGCGCGAGGTTTTCTTTTTGCGGGGAGAGGACGGTGGGGAATGGGAAAGGCTCTGGAGAAAATGAGGGTCGGGGCCCCGAGGCGCACAGAAGCCTCAGCAGTGCGAGTTACGAGCGCCCCAGGCCTCGCACGGTTAGCAGAGAGTCTTATGTTCCGCTTTCCAGTGAGAACTGGGGGTGAGACTGGTCGAGAGGGGAGCTTCCCAAGGTCATCCAGTGATAAGAGTGTTGGGAGAGAATTCTGGCTTTTGATCCCATCTCTGACTGAATTCATGTGTCTTGGACTCTGGCCATAGCGATTTGTTTCCTCTGAGCTGCGATCGGGAAACCAGGCCTCCCTTAACCGCGCGGTAGCCTTTATCAAAACCAGAGTAAACTTATTGTGGCCCTGCGGTTCTCCAGGCCTGGGCGCTAAAAACGGATTGGAGTTTATATTCCAGGGGTTCTGAACCTGTGGATCGTGACCACTTTGACAGACCTTTATCTCCAAAAGTATTTATTTACATTGCGATTCATAACCGTAGGAAAATTATAGCCATGAAGGAGCAACGAAAATCATGGTTTTTTTTGGGGGGGGGGGGCACGCTGTCACCAGGACAAGAGGAACTGTATGTAGTAAAAGGATCGCAGCATTAGGAAGGTTGAGAATCACTGCTGTGTTTGACCAGTGCAAGGGCTTCCACAGAGGCCGTTTGTTGCTTGTGGTCCCTGAGAGCCTTTGACTTTCCTTTTCCTTATACCTGGTGATCGCACTACTCCAGATAGGTGCACATAAGACAGGAGAATAGCTGTGTCCAGGAACCTATTATGAAGAAGCAAGGGCAACTGCTCACCCCAAGACTTTAATGAAATGCCCATTTCACGTGGAAAGACTGGTTGTACTTAATAGTAGTTATTGGATTATTTAGAAACAGAAACAAAACCTGTCAGCTTAGGCTTTGTAGCAGGCTGCTGTTTAACAATATTACATTTTTAAAAATATTAAACGTAGGCTAACAATTATTACTCTTAGGTGGGTTTTTTTTTCCACTATTATATGGCTCTAAACTTGCTTGTGACTTCAAAGAGAGCATATTTTAGTTTATTTATTTCTATCGCCAGGTGAGAATTGCTCGTTCCTTTAGTCCCAACACTGTCTGGTGGATCTCTGTGAGTTCAAGGCCATCCTATTCTGTGCCATCTGGGGCTATAGATTGAGACCCTGTCTTTTAAAAAATAAAATAAAAATATCATGCAGGGCATTGTTAACAAAATTAACTGTTGGGGGAGGGCATTTCTGATCATTGTCCTAAAACAATATGCAGTTTGTTGGAAGGTGTTTTAAGCCTTAACATCACCTTTGTTGCCATGTGGCGGTGCCACACACCTTTACTCCCAGAACTCAGAAGTTCAAGGCCAGCCTGGTCTACCTAGTGAGTTAATCCTGTCTTAATAATAATAATAATAATAATAATGCCATTGCTTATCTCAATATCAACATCACTGTTCTTCCATGTAAGCTCCCTTTAAAACCCAGTTCCTGTACCATTTCTTTGTTCTGCAGTCAGAATTAGTTGTCTTTGGAATACATTATCCTTATTGCAGTATTCTGTAGAATGAAACACCTCAATATTGACCAATTATGTAACTCCTCCTCCTAAAGGTAACAGGTTAATGAGTTGAGGAGGTTAATGAATTGGCAAAGACAAGAAGTCTTAGTTTCTTGTAAAGTTTCTCATGAGAACCTATTTCATAACTTTAAAAAATGTATTATGAAGTAAATGGAGAAGAATGCTTTGGTAGGTATAGCAAAGGAAAACTTGAATTATGAAGATTTTGGGGGGGGGGGCGGTTCGAGACAGGGTTTCTCTGTGTAGCCCTGGCTGTCCTGGAACTCACTCTGTAGGCCAGGCTCGCCTCGAACTCAGAAATCCGCCTGCCTCTGCCTCCCAAGTGCTGGGATTAAAGGGGTGTGCCACCACCACCCGGCATGAAGGGTTTTGTTGTTGTCTTTTAATGGTGATTTTCCTGCTTTGGCTAGATTGGCCAAGATCTATGAAAAAGACCCAGGGAAATTTAGATTTTCTAAATTTTTACTTCATTATTGCAGTAACCATTATGAAAGTATTCAAAATTAAGGTCTCAAATTTCATTGTGTGGATGCTTCTGAATCCTTTGGGTGGTTAATAGAATGGTGCCGGTTTCCAGAGCAGTAACACCTGTTTGTTTTCTCCTACTCCCATTTAGAAGCCAGCCAGTCTACCAGCCTTGCCTGGACCTTGCCCCGCTAGTCCAAGTTGCTCCTGGAAGCTGCGGCTTGGTTGTAGTAGATAGGCCATAATACACAGAAAACTGAATAGTTTTGAATTCTGAATCTGTGTGTGCCTTTTTTTTTTTTTTTTTGAGTTAGCAAATGCTATGTCATTTTACTTCAGTTTTCGTCCTTTCCCTGTCCCTCCACCCTACTCCTTATGGCTCCCTACTTCCAGCCAAATCGTCAGGATTAGTTCTAGTTTTGTGACTTAACACAGACATACATAGGTGCATACATATTTAAACCTAGGATCTGTTTACAAGGAATCAGTGGGTATTTGTTCTGAGTCTGGCTTATTTCTCTTAGCGTAATGATTTCCTGTTGCATCCATTCCCCTGCTTGCATCATCATTCATTTTCCTTCTGACTGAATAAGATTCCACTGTAAATATGTACCACATATTCTTTGTCTACTCTGCTGAGAGGCATCTGGGCATGTTCAGTATTTTAGCTACTGTGACATGCAAATCTCTTTGTGGTCTGTTGGCTTAGTCTTTCAAGTATATCCCAAGTTGAGTAGCTGGTTCGTGTGGTAGTTGTTTTTAATTTTGTGAGAATCCTCCACACTGACTTCCTTAGTGGCTGCCCCAGTTCACACTCCTACCAGCAGTAATGATTCCTCTCTCCCCACAGCTCCCAATATGTTGTCACTTTCTTTTAATGCAATTTCTTACACACCTTTAATCCTAGGACTTAAGAGGCAGTCAGATTTCTGCAATTCCAAGGACAGCCTGATCTACAGAGTGAGATCCAGAACACAAGAAACCCTGTCTCAAAAAAATTAAAAAAAAAAAAAAAGGTTCTCCAAGGGTTTTCCTCATATAACTATTGAGTATGTGTATGTATTAAAATTACTTGGAGACCTTTTAAGACAAATAACTGGATCAGGGTTTCTAATTCAGCATCTATGATAGGGACCTGAAGATCTACATTTCTAGCACGTTCCTATTGGCTTCACGCTGCTGATCTAGGGACCTGACTTTGTGAACCATTGATATTCCCTGTAATACCCAGAAGTAGAATTGATTTTTAATATCGAACATCACTTGGGGCTTCTTCCATGTGGTACACTCATCCTGTATGATTGACCTTCGATAGCAATTGTCATTTATTCATCCCATGTTGGATTTCTGGTCTTTCTACTTTTGTGAACAGTGTTCAGTGATGATTTGTGAACCATGTATTTCTACCTTGTGATAATTTCTGTAACAGTAAGTTCCTGGAGAAGAAACGACTCTGCTAGATAGACGGGTATATTCCTTATATGGTATGATATACTCTAAATGTCTGCTGTCACCCAGCGTACACCACACTGTATTACAGCCAGTTAACACTGCCAGTTGTAACTTATCTGTGCTAGTGTGAAAGTTGAATGTTGGTTTGGTTTTACATTTCTTTCGTGGAGAGTCAGGGTCTCCTCCTTTACCCAGCTGGCCTGAAACTCACAGAAATCAACCTGCCTCAACCTCCCCCATGCTGGGACTTAAGGCCTGTATCACACCAGGCTGACATTACATTTCTTTGTGGGGTTGACTCTTTTATACTTTCCAGTATGTTTCCCTTTCCAAAGACAAGAAAAATACTTGGCCAGTTTTCTACCAGGATTTTTTGGCTTGCACTCAAAAGTCCTTTATCTGGGTATAAGGAGTAAGGTTCCAGCTTCAGAGACCACCCTGACTGATGTCAATATCATCAGTAGATGATCTGTCTCCCGTGGAACCCTAAGTAATTTATAGGAAGACTGAGAGTATGTGTTACTGTGTTCAGTTGGTGGTTACATTTGAAAAACATTACAAGCTCCAACAAAAAAGTGACTTAACTGAGTGTTTACTCTAACACAGTATTGATAGACCATGAATGAAAACACTGAGCTGTGCTGAGTCAGGAGAGTTAATCCCGGCTCTTCTCCTATGCTGAGTGCTTGGCTATTCTGGAGTTTAGAAAGAGTGGGTAATGGGTGAAGGTCCTAACAATGCTAACCAGCTTTGCCCACCAGCTCCACTACTGCAATGGCAGCGGAACCACAGATGACAGGAGAGATTTTGAAACTGAAAGAATTTTATTTTCTTATAAACTGCACCCAAATCAATTTATTGTTTTATTGTTTTGTCTTTTAGATTGAAGTCATGGCTGGTGCAGAAAGTGATGGCCAATTCCAGTTTACTGGTATTAAAAAATATTTCAACTCTTACACCCTCACAGGTAGAATGAATGTAAGTATTAATTATGTTTTAGGCAGCTATATCTTAGAATAATAGAGATATGACAGCTTTCATTTACATCTTTCTTTTCTTCTCAGTGTGTCCTGGCCACATACGGAGGCATTGCTTTGTTGGTCTTATACTTCAAGTTAAGGCCTAAGAAAACTCCAGCTGTGAAGGCAACATGAGTGGTAAGGACTCGCCACTTCAGAGTGTGTAGCTTAGTCACTCTGATGGTAGGGTTCTTTCTTACCTTATACAAAGTAAACTGTTGGCACTCTTTGAAATTCCTTGTATTCCTAAAAGAAAACATTAGGTATAATGTACACCTGTAAACCCAACAGTGAGGGGACAGAGGCACAGGATTGCAAGTTCAAGAACAGCTTGTGCTAGCTACATAGCAAGGCTTAGTCTCAAAACAATTCAAAGAGAGAGTGACCAAGGATCTGGGTGCCGTGTCTTCTACTATGATCCCAGCAACACTGGGGAGGGCAAAACAGGATCACCATCATTTTCAGTCTGCTCTGACTCCAAAACAAAACCCAAGAAAGATATTACACCAAAATGCTTTTGAACTTAGGAGTGTTTTCTCAGTGCTAAGTGCTTTCCCAGTGGATTATGGGACACCTAGCTTTGTAAGAGGGTGTATCTTTTACCTCAGCCAGAGTAGACTAATTTTTGCTAAACTGGTGTGTTAAAAATTCTTTGGGTTTTGTTGAAGTAACTTTCTGTTACCATTTATATTTTTCTTAACACTATTCTTGTGTCTGTAACAATTAGATGACTTCAATGAAATGACTTACATTTGTTTTTGGGAACCTATGTCTCTGCACACTCACGGCAGGACACTGATGTGGAAGCAGGTGCACAACTCTAAGGAGCTGCTTCTCTTTCACCTTGAGGCAGGGTCTTTCATTTCTTTCTGCTGTGCAGCTCCACTGTGCATTCCCAGCTATGTACATTTACAAGCTGGGCTTCTGTCTCTGGGCATCTCTACATAAGAGTGCTGGAATTACAGGTGTGCCACTGCATCTCCCCCCCCCCCCAACCCCCATAAATTCTTAGGACCAAACTCAGGTCTTCATGGTCTCTCCAGCCCAACTATAAGATTATGCAATTTAGTTTTGGTTGGGTTTTGTTTGTTTAGGTTGTTTTGAGACAGTCTTGCTTATAACCCAGCTGACCTCACAGTTGTGGCAATTCCTCTTTCTCAGCCTGCTGAGGTTTGGGATTACAGGCATGTACCACCATGCCTGGGGAGGGGTGGGGATACTAGAGCCTGGAGAAATGGCTCAGTGGTTCCCATCAAGCACTGCAAATACTGTAAAAGAGGCCCAAGTTCAGGTCCCAGCCCGTGCCAGGTATCTTACAACTGTAACTTCAGCTCCAGGCAACCTAGTATCCCTTTTTGGACTCTCACACATAAACACACACAATTTAAAAGGTCTTTAAAAGAGAATAATGGAATTATGAGCCGAAGTTGTGGTGCTAGGGATCAAACCCAGGGCCTTGGCAGATGCTAGACTGTCATTCTGCCTCAGAGCTACAGGCCCAGCTCTAACCAACCCGGAGTACATATAGTTGTAATATTCCCTGGGGTTTTGATAGCTCTACATTGTCATAGAATACTGGATCCCCCCCAGCCCCGAATAAACAAACCCCTTTAAGATTTTCTTACAGTCCCCTTCAAGCCCTTTCTCTATCCAGAAGTAAGTCAGTAAATACAGTGTTGGCAGCAGCTGTGCAGAAAGGCGGAAGGCTTGAAAACTATTCTCTTCACTTATTTTTGTCCTGCTCTTAAAAGCTTTACCATCTTGAATCCATTTAACTTAGGGGACTGTGAAGTCCTGGCCATGCCTTATTCCTGGTAAACAGGCAGTAGATTTTGCCCATTTTATACATAAAGTTACTCTTAACTTTGGGAAGGTGGTAGTATCCCCATAAAAAGTGTATCTTGAAAACTCAGTAGCAGACATGTATCTTACCTATTTACACCATTTAAAAAATGTTCCTTTACAACTAGAAAGCTCAGAGGTTGAGAAGGCCTGCTGCTCTTGTACAAGACTAGGATTCAATTCCCAGCACCCATGTTGGTTCACAACCATTCTAGGGGATCTGATAACCCTCTTCTGATATCCATAGGCACTAAGCACACAAGTGGTAATACACATGCAGGCAGAACACTCACACATAAAATTAACAAACATTTTAAGTGTTACTTTGTATACTTGATATTTTTCAGTAGTTTGCTTTTAAGGCTATACTGAATTGTTGGTAGTTTCAACAATTACTTCAATTGTTAAAGCTGGAACATTAAACTACATCAACCTGAAGGAGATGCATACACACACAAACACACACATATATGATATATGCCCTACTGACTCTTGAGAACCTAGTGAATATACATTTTACTCTGGGGATTTGTAGAAATTACTGATTGTCAAAAATAGAGAACACATTTGTGTCACACTGTTTTTGCTTTGTTTATAGGATTTTGAACTGTCTGACCTCACCTGTTAAGTCCATGCCTGAAGAAGCTGATGTGAACTCATCATGTAATACTCAATTTGTACAATAAATTATGAACCTGGAAAATCTGGTTGTCTTTATTTACAAGATATCAAAAATATATAAAACTGTACAAAATGCAACAAAGGCAAAAACTGGCAGTGACTTGGTCTAAATCTCTCAGTTTTCCAAAGCAAGGCTCAGTACTGGAGGTAAGCAACTGAAATGTTTGTCTGTCTTCAAGTGTACTAGGTCATATGTAGCCACGTTAGCTGAAGTAGAGTATGGAATCTAAATCTCTTCACCTGTTTTGTTGTAAGTGTTCGATTGCGCTCCAAACTTACAAGGTAGGAATTGAGATGTTGGTGGATGGCTGTACATCTAGATCTTAGGAACTGGAGTCCCCTACCCAGTTACATACAGTCCACTAATCATGGGTGAGGGAAGCGTGTTAGTGGGTCATTTAACACACTGCTTGAGTGCCATACAATAACTTCATTTACAGCAGATGTACACATGCTCATAGAACTCTTCAGCTACTCAAGATGGTACTGTATTTCTTAACTTGAATCTTGAAGCAGAATGAGTTGTTTAAATCAAATTGATTTTTTTCTAAACATAATAAATTAAAATAGCATTTGAACAAAAAAATGCATAGTTTCCACACAATCCAAAGCACCATAAATGTCCCCTCCACGAACATAATACCTCTTATTCAACTAACGGAAATTAGTTAAATGTGGTTGCTATAGAAACGTGGAATTGTCCTGTTCAGATTTTCCAAGCAGCATACTTCCAGATCCATGTAGACAAAAACATTCTTTGTAGCTTAAATACTAATCACTGAGGTATTTGCTTTTAGTCTCCCTTTTCCAAACAGTAGCTTCCAAAGGTCTCTAATACCGTTGGTTTATTGCGGACTGTAGGCTCCTGCAGCTAGAACCAAGTTTCTTCTTGTAAAATGTAGGTGTACAACTGGTGTTGATTTGGTCATATATGTACCCAATAACAACTCCTGGGAATTCTCAGGTAGATTTATATGCCCAGTGGCTGTAGTAAAGTCATCAGTCTCTAAATCTTCAAACGCTTTGATGGCATCCCATAACCGAACTGTATTATCCATTGAACCTAAAAGGATGCCAAAGGAAGCCATTAGTGTCCAGCTGTCACATCAAGAGTCTGACGGTTTTTTCTATGGATACTTTGTTTACTGTGAATTTTTTTTTTAACAAAGACTAAACCTTTACCATGAAATAATTTACCTGACGCCAAAATTTCACCATCTCTACTAAACCTAAGTGAACACACTGTATCAGTGTGACCTTTTAATTCTCCAACCATCAAGCCATGTCCAATATCCCAAAGAAGTACTCTGCCATCTGTTGCTCCTGTAGCCAGGAATCTCCCATTGGGAGAAAATGTCAAGGAGTGAATTGGTCCCTAGAAAAGAGCAAAGTAGGGTTAAGTATATTTGATAAGACCAAAGTAGAATTGTAGTTTAATAGCATCTTTAAAATAGTTATCTTTAAAGTACTTATGCCACTGGTTAAATATTTCAGTTTTGAAAGCATCTTTGTGTGCTGGAATAAGAAAGGTGTAAAGTACCTTGTGTCCAGTGAAGATCCTTACACAGTTACCATTGAGGACATCCCAGAGCCGCACAGTTCTGTCTGCAGAGCCCGTAGCAACATAGTTCGAATTTGGATGAAATCTAGTGCAATTCACATCAGCAAGATGGCCAGCAAATATCCTTAAAGGCTGATAGTGATCTGTAGCCCAAAGCCTGAAAATAAAAATATTTAAATAATAAAATTTAACCTAAAATATAGGTAAATCCAGGTGAAAGTCAATTCCAAATGGTGCCTCCTTGTCATCTAACTGAAGGAAAGATAATAACTGGGACTAACGTTTTCTTTTTTGAGATAATATCTCATGTAACCCAAGCTGGCTTTAAACTCACTCCATATCCCAGAAGACTGGTAGGTTTGATTTGTTTTTTGTATTTATTTTATTTGAAACAGGGTCTCACTTTGTAGCTGTGCTGGAATTCACTACGTAGATGTGGCTAGCCTTAAACTCAGATATTGCCTCTACCTTAGCCTTCCAAGTGCTAAGACTAAAGGCATGTGCCACCATGCCCAGTTCCCGAATGCTGGGATTACAGGCATATAAATTATCTTGTTTGTTTGTTTGTTTGTTTGTTTAGACAGGGTTTTTCTATGTAGCCCTAGATATCCTAGAATTTACTCTGTAGACCCAACTGGTCTAAAAATTCAGAGATCTAGCTGATTCTGCCTCCCAAGTACTGAGATGAAAGGTGTGCACTGACAATTGCCTGGTTTAAGTAATTTTTTTTTTTACATGCATTGGTGTTTTGCCTATGTGCATGTCTGTGTAAGTCTGTCAGATCCCCAGGAACTAGAGTTACAGTCAGTTGTGAGCTGCCATGTATGTGACAGGAATTGAACCTGGGTCCTTTGGAAGAGCAGTCGGGACTCAACTGCTGAGCCATTTCTCCACCAGCATGTAAACTCTTTAATTCTTTTATACCCACTTCCCTACTCCTAATGAACAGAAAACCATCCTCCTAGAGTTTAGGCAACCACATAGTTTCCAGCAAAAATTACATCAAAGGGGACTTTAGACTAACAGGACACACAGGTATAGTGGAAGCAGGGCCCTTGGTGTAGACATGGGAGGGAGATAATACTTCCCTCTCACATTTTCAAACTACAGCTGTGAATTACTTTCTCAAAAGTTAATTCTGAATAGCATGAAAATAACATTTGCTGGACTTTGTATTTTCGACAAGAAACAGTTATATTCGGTGAGCAAACCCCATTAGATCATAGTGTTCTTACCGAGCTACTCGGTCATGGCCTCCTGACACGAAATAATATCCATACGGAGAAAACTGTGTGTCCCATACTGGGTAGTTGTGTCCTTTATACCCAACCAAGCAAGTGAAAGTCTGAAGGCTCCAGAGTCTAACAGTTCCATCCTCTGAAGAGGAGAGCAGATAGTTCCTGAGGAGAAGAGGAGATTGATGTTTGATTCTCAGTACAACCTAGTAACCTGTCCAAGTTTCTTCCAATCTCGAATTTTAACAAATGACATGTGCCTATGTTACGTTAGTGTGTGTGCATGCTCGTGGGAGTGAGCACATAGTTCTGAAGACTCAACCTAGGGCCTTGCACATGGCAGGCTGGCATTGTACCACTGAGCCACACATCCTTAGCTCCCTCACCTGTGTGTGTGGAATGCAGAATGCATGGGCATAGTTAGGCATCTTCCTTGGATCAATCTCCAAGATGTACCCAGAGCTTTTCAGCTTTCTCCAGAGACCCCAGCTCCAAGTCCAGAATACTGGGGTTACAGGAGAGCTGTCAGGCCAGGTCCGCATTTATGTGAGTGCTGGAGATCCAAAATCTTGATTTTCTCCCTTGCATGACAAGCATTTTACCCACTGAGCCATCTCATCCCCTTCTTTATTTATTCTTAGAATTCACAGGAGATAACAAGAGCTAAAAGTATTAAACTAATGTTAAATGAAATCTTGTATTATATCCTGAACACCTACTATATAAAGCTAATTATGAAACAAAAAGCCAAACCAAACAAACCTGTCAAGACTATGGGGAGGGGTCACGGTACTTAGAAAAGAAAAAAAATATTTGTATAGATGGCTCGTGTAATCTCAGTGGGCAATTGAGGCAGGAGGCTTGCTGCAAATTCAAGGCTAGTCTAGGCTATTATTTTGAGATCCTATTTTCAAAACACCAAGAAATAATATTGAGGATAATAGCAGTAGACAGTCTAGATGAGGTGTATCAACTTGGGATATGTCATTTGCTATCTGCATGGGCTGTATCTAAAACAGAAAAGGAATCAGGTACAGCTCAGTAGCAGAGTGCATGCCTAGTATGTCCCCAAGGCCCTGCTGTATTCAGCCAAGATCTCATTCCCAAACCCCTCCCCGCAGAATACTAATGTTCTGCCTTTTTCAGGGATAAATACAAAAGCTAACAGTTTTCACTGAAATCAGACATTCTCTTCGAGTAAAATATACCATTTGGCTAAATCCTATTTAGTCCTGGTTTTGTTTGTTTTTTAATTCTATAGATCTCACAAGTATAGTGAAAACTCTGGTGGAGGAAAACTACTACCTTAAGTAGAACACAAGATAATATGGGTGAAAGCACCCTTTCCCAGCCATTTTCACAGAGAGTTAGAAATGAAAATCAAGGAATACCCTAACACATATGGCACTACTATTTCAAAACAGTCTTGCTATGATGTGCAGAGAACCTTGAACCACAGTTCTCCTGCCTTAATTTCCAGAGGAGCTGGGATGGCTGGCAGGCACTTACCAAGACACCCAGCTTTCTTTTGTCTTTCCATTATAGAAACCTAAATGCTTCAGCTGATAGCTTTTAATGCCATTAGTATGAGGAATTTCTCTTAAATTTTATGAAGTGGCGTAAGAATAATCCACGTACTCAACCAATTCAAGCTCTATCAAAGGGTTATTCAAAAATAAAACTAAATTTTGAAACCAGTTAAGCACTGAATGTATATCTTGAATTTGTAAATTCAGTATACACTTAGTTGCTATTTTAGATTCTAGTACCCCAAAATAAATTAGCAAATGGTAAGATTCTAATTCTGAAAGATACTGAACTACAGGCAACCATAATGTTTGGCATTTGCATTTTATCTCCAGCAGTTAACTTTTAAATCTCAGTACTGTTTATCAGCATTTCATTGTGTATGGATTTTACCTATCCGGACTGAAGCTGGCTCCATAGACAGGCCCACTGTGACCATACAAAATCTTCAACTCACTTGCAGTTTTCTCATCCATGATTCTCTCTAAGACATCATCTGATTCTTTGTCTATAAGACTAAGATCTAAAAAGGTCCAGAAATATTATTTTAGGAATGTTATTTAAAGCAATCCGTCATAGTTCAGAACATTTCAACATTTCTTCCTCTGTACCAACAGCAATATGCTAAAGCTAAAGTAAGTGATACATCCCCTTGTATAGAAGAAAATGAATCTTCAAAACAGTTAATAAATAATCTGC